TTTGGTTCCAAATTGGTTGAGATATTCGCGTTTGAATTGCGTTAAATTTATTATCAATAATTTCGTGTCACACTGTATTAACCAGTTATTTTAAAGATCACCTCGGATACAGTAATACCTACATATAACGCGACCAAGGAACGGAAATTCTTTAGCGTTAAGACGTGCAGCCCGATCCAGCAGGTAAGGTAAATCGAAATTAGAAATATTATACCCAATAACAACATCCGGATCGACCTAACAAAACGACAAACATTACAATTACCACTGTGTATACTATTCTAATTTAAGCCCAAAGTTGATCTACTCACTTCAGAAACAAAATCACGCCACGCGTGTAACATCTTGGTTTGGTCATCGAATTCGATAATATCGGTTGCAACAATTGAAGCACACGTATTGAGCGTGAAAACGTTACGGATAAAAGGTTTGCTTTCCTCTTGAAATAAAAACCATTTAATTACTATTTATTATACTTAGAAATACCATCAACATCTTCCAACATATACCTTGGATAGTTACAATAAAAGCTCGTTACAAGATGCGTTGTAGCTTATGAATTGTGATTGACTCCCTAGAAAAAGAACTTACAATAAACGTTAGGCTATTAGAAATTGAGACAGAAGAAACGGGAGGAGCTTTCAAAAAACGATCAACCGACTACAGCCATAAAGACAAACAAAAACAAATATCTACAAAAACAATTTGCCAAGCACTTTATAAGGATAATTTTGCTCGAAAAAGCCTCTTATTTCGGACAATAGAAAGGAGACATTGGACTGGAAAAAAACAATCTGGGAAGATTGGTCTAAGTTTTCAGTTCGAAAGCTGGGAAAATGATGTGAAGAAAATCAGGAGAAAATTCATGAAGATTGCATTTCATTAACAGTAAAACATTGGATGTAGCAAGATTCATTATGCGAAAAATCGAAAATGGTAGAGATTTTTAAAACAAGCTTTTACAATCCGTAACAGACTAAATCAAAGCAATAGGCAATAATCCGTTTGGCTAACTTATAGTATAAAATTACATGGGCAGTTACATATTAACCATTTATTAAATTGTCCGAATTTCGACCGTGTAATACTTTGGTACCCTCCTGTATAAAGAGCAACCTTCAAGAGTTAGCTATAACCTTATTGAGTCGATGCTGGCGCATAAGCAATACCATTTGAAATAGTTTGTCAAAAGTTGAACGATATATACGCTTTTCCAGCCAACGGTTGACATCAAAATCATCAAAAAAGATTATGATAGTTGTTACTATTACGGCAAGCTGATCTGATGATAAAATCTTCCTCCGCAGTTACCCATGATCGGCACTAATTTAGTAGCGTGTCGCAAATTCTGGCGCAGCAGCGTGTCGCTAATTTTTTGACAAGCGCAGCAACGTGTCGCAAAATATGTGACAGCACAAACGCTAAATTAATTGTTCTTCATAGTATAATAATTTATATAGAAGCGTGTCGTTTTTCTTGCGACGCAAAAGATATATAAGTAGCTCTTCCTCCATCGTCAAATCTTCATGTCATGTTGTAATATTATTATGTTGTGAAATAAAATAATGCTTACTGATATTAGTAGTATTCTCCCGAAATCCTTTATTATAAATATACGTAATTTAATTTCTATCGTCGAAATAATTGATTATTAGACCGGACACTCCAATAAACGGCTCACTTAAGCTGTAACGGAATAGCATTGATTTGATCAAACTAATAAGCTGTCCGCTGATCAATTACGTGAATAACGGAACGAGAGTTCATAATTAATTATCGAGACGAATATTGTTTAATTAGTTTAGTAAGACAAGTGACGGATAACCGACGTCGGAAAAACAAATCGAAGATAGCCCTGTTTAAATTTAAAATAGTATTATTCCCCTTCGATTCTTTAGTAGAATAATTGTTGTTGTTATTTTATTAGAGGTACCCTTATTTGTATTCACGAGTGTTTGAAATTCGGATAGGGAGTGAGAAGCGCGCATAATTGAATAGGTCACTTGAGGCTTAATTCAGTCTTAACTGCACAACTATCGTAGTAAGGGCGATAATACGAGCTAAGCCTGGTAACATCCCCGGTCGGCGAACACACCTACACGAAAAGATAAATCGTTCTCCCCAAAACCCCAATTTAATTCCCGACCGTAACAATATCATGTTGTTTGTATCCTGCTATTGCTAGTACAGTCAACCCTCTCTAAATGCACACTCTCTATAAATGCACACAGTCCCAAATGCATTGCACAGTTTTTTCCATTTCTCACCATATTAATAGAGAACTCTGCTCTGCTGTCTATTATGAGTCGCACAATGACTGGGCAATTTGAGTGATTTTTTGTTCAAATGTGAATTGCAAAAAACTCGCAGAGCGAGGGCCTTTAGTGCCTAACTACTCATGCTCCTAATGATGATTCACCAGTTGTGGATAGCCATCTTCCAGAAAAAGAGACGTCAAAAAATAGTAAAAGCGATATACTGGAACTATTGGAGCTGAAGTGGAATACATAGAAAGATTACTCAAAGTAGCTAATATCGATGTTTTATACCCAGAACCTGTATCTCCGAATGTTTTTACTTTGAGACGTTCCTACTACCCACTATGTAAACGAGAACATGAGCGAAAATGTATATAACATTTACCTTACGGGAGTGTGCATCGACATAATGGCAGTCGCAAGTGAATAACGGCAAAGGCGATAACTGGCCTAGGATCCGCGTACTCCCTCCCTCTTTGATAGCATCATGCATTTCATTTGCTACCTCCACTTTTTACTAAAGATTAGTAAAGTTTCGCGGTACATCATTTATTATAAAAACATTGTAAATATTAATATTGGCAAAGATAGCAAAAAAAATCAGATCTGCAAAGTAAAATAGTTGTGATGTTGGTTAAAAATAAACTGAATTTTACAAAAAAAGCAATAATTGAGAAAAGAATATGTAAAACTGTGATCAAATAAGTTTATGAATGTAAATGTGCGAAAGAAATGGGTAATAATAATAGAAATTAAACAATCGTGCTATCTTTCTTATGCTTATTTTTTTTTTCTGTTCTTGTTCTTGTTCTGGCTCTTTTGGATTTTTCCTGGGCTTCATCAAGTTTCTGAGGTTTAAGATTATCTTGACTTTCAGTATTATAATTAATAATACGTGCAGCAAGTTCAGATTCGGTATCTGAAAGAGAATATTAGTTATTATACAAAGTCATGCTAAAAAAAAAAACAATCAAGTGTTGTACACATACAATACTCAAATTCATGAACAATTCCATTATCATCAACATCCCATACCGTCCCGTCAATGCGTTTTGTTGCCACCTCTTCTAAAGAATTTCCAAGGGGCCGCAATGCATCAGACATCCTATCTAACTCAAAAACACGACCATAGCAATCTATAAATATTATTCCATGGTAGCGCTCCCCAACAAGTATTATATGGTTGAAGCCAAACTCCTAAATCTCGTCGAAATAAATATTGTAACCCGATTTTGCATTTATACACTCGGTAAGACTTGATACATCACAGAACCCTCGGTTAAGAGAAAGTGCGAGTTGGTGACGGTCGGACTCGTTTGCCATAATTTCAATTACCATACGTGAATTGTTGCAACACCCGACTGGGCCACCCTCTGACATGGCAATATTTTTATATTGATCCTAGTTCTAGGTTATACACCGTATATTAGTTTAAAAAAAATTTTTTTTTTTCAATTCGAAAATAATTATCGAGTCGGAGCAATTGTCCGGTGGGTGAAAGCATACAGCTGATTCTTGCTCTGTTAGGGCAAAATTCCCCCTTCGAAATATCGTCATACTTTCGAACCTCGACTCTGCTATCTTTTGTTTCATTTCTTTTAGCTTTGACCTCGTTAATTCTGGCGGGTTTGCTGGCGTTAGGGAAACCGAGGCCCTGGCCATGAAGCTCTTTATCTTGTTGTTTTGTATCGTGTATATAATGTTTATTATATGTGGGCGGTATCTGTTTATAAGAATCGGCGGGAAAGGGCCACAAGACACTAATTTTCCCTGGGCTGTCACTTCACTTACTTTCTTTCCATTTGCTTTCTTGATGTTTGTTAGTATAGTCCTGCACAAAATAAGTTGGTTAAAAAAACAAACTCTTTTCTCTCTAAAACTATCTATCTATCTAAATTACCTCGACGGTCTTATGAAATCTTTCACGAGTTGTCTCATCCATTTCTTGGGGGATTGTTCAACCAAGCAGAAAAACTATTACAGTATTATTGGTAATCAGATTGATAAAACTTTTTTATGCCAGAAAATTTAGCGACGCAAGGTTTTTGTTTCGGGAAATCGAAATGTTATCTATGTGAGAGTTTGCGACTATCAACCAATAGTAAAGCATACACGGGTATCGATATATTGCCTAGTGTAACACATCATTGCGATTGTTTCCGTATATAAGAACAATAGTATCAGTGTAATAACACGCTTTCACTGGTTAAAAAGTCCGATAAGCCACGCAATTAAACTGATCTCTATGATAGTGATTATATCGATAGCAAGCAATGTGATATCAGCGTGAGTAATTCTCGCTGTATATAGATAGAATAAATTGAATAAGGTTTTTTTACGTACACAGTGGAATTCACTTTAACGAAGTGTTTTTCTGGAATAGCCACGGCTACTTACCTTTTACCATGAAAATGTCGATGAAGAAAAAAAAAATAAATAATATCCCGTTGGTTCTTTCAACAAGAAAGTAAATAGTTAAGTAAACGCGAAATCGAGAGTTAAATACAGCCAACTCTGTCTATACCGGCACGAGTGTTTTGGCAGTTTCTGGCCGTTATAACGAGAGACCGTATATAAAACTGTTACACAAGTAGGGAATTGTGTAACCAATAACCAATAATTGTGCGTTATATCTTGAGTTTGTTTCAAATGTCGATTCTTGCGAAGTTGAGCAGCATGATCGTCCTCATTTATTGCAAGCCACTTTCCGCTTTCACGGATAACATCACCAACGGTGCTAGTATAAGTACCGCAACCAAACATTCAGCGGTCTCTGCATTAGCAAAAGAAGGATTTTTTAGTTTAATTTTAATTTGACAAATTTCTCTTTTCTGCAATCCTGTTATTCCAATGCGTTTAGGTGTCTCTATGTCTGTATTAAATTTTTGGCAGAGATTCTCTTGCGTGGCATGGTAATAATTAAAAGGTTGGCTGCATTTATTGGTAATTTATGTGGGAGCTGATGGGGTTAGAGAATAAATCTGATCAACCAAATGAAAGGTCTGGTTTCATCAGCCGTGACAATAATCACTTGACTTCGCCGGTATAAAGTAAATCTTTTTATATAATTTAAAGTAAACTGGTCTACATAATTTTGTGTAACTTGTGCCGGAGCTGGTATAAACAGAGTTATTAAGATCTGCCGTTATAAAGGGTGAGATTAATATGGAATTTTTTGGTTCAGCGAAATTGGACCGGTATAAGGCAAAACCGGTATAGACAATGCCGGTATAGACAGAGTTGACTGTAATCACATCACGAAAGAATCGGTAAAAAAATCTAATGATGTAACCATTTACTGCGCTTCATATGACTTTGCGATCACAACCTACAGTCAGGTGTCAATTTTAGAATATTCGGAGCGTATCTCGAAATCTGATTGGTTTAAATGCACTTATAGAACAACGAATAGAAAAACCAGAAAGCTGTTGCACAGAATAGTGACTGACTATGACCTAAAGCCCGAAATAAAATACCCAACTTTCAAAAACCTCGAGTTTTAGGCAACAGTTTTCTTAAGTTTCATGACGTCCAGTTTGTGCAACTATTTGTGTAACTTTCCATTATCTTTATTATTACGATAACTTAACAAGATATGTAAAGCAATTACGTAAGGTATTATCGGCACGGAATTTAGTTGCACATCTTGAGAAACTCGATCATAAAATTATATTAGGCAAGCATTATCTGGTGAACGCTACGTTGAACGCAAGGTCGTAATATTCCATATCTATTGCGCCTTTTAAAGTCATCGTATTTATCTTGTAGCACGCCACAGCGACGTCAGGAATTCCAGGTTGACAACGGACCCTTTAGCAAATAAAAAAGGGAAGGAAAAGTGGATTAGATGAAGCTATAGAATCTTAAACATATGAAAAAAGTTTTTTTTTCATACCAATTAGGGAGAGCACGTTCCCATATCGAAATTTGCATACTTTCTCTGAACACGAAGACGGTGTTGCTATAGTTGATCGCTCCTGCCACTTCCAAGGAGTTTATTATGGCGTCTTGGTTTTGTCCGGCGACTCCATTTCGGTTGTTGGGAGAGGCAGGAACGTCATTAAAACCAGCGGTATTCCACTGGATCACAAGAGCCGGTATATAAGTATGTTTATTTGTTGCTTTGAGAATGAGAGAAGCAATGGCAGGATTCTGAAATGTTGTAGGAAGGGTTGAGGGAGCTAAAGATACGTAAATAACTTTATGTACAAGAAATATCAACTGCCAACTTGTACGTACTTTGATTACACTTCTTTGCGAGTACCTTGACCTTGTGCTGTTGCACTCTGTCATGGATAGACTTGAAAAGCTTTTCCATCGTAATAGTTGCAGCGAAGAAAAAGTGATATACTCTGTGATTTTTCGGTAATTTTAATTATTATTATCGTCCAATCAAATCGCGTGAACAGTTAAATATGACTATAATGCCACGCTCGCGGAGCGATTACGTGGTATATTGGTCGCCAACCAATAAATTTACAAAGATCTGGTCACGTTCTGCTCCGCCAAAATCATACGAGACACTGAATTTTTCTTGCTTGAAAAAACGCTAAGATTCTTTCACAAACATCTTCTGGAATGTGTATAAGCACCTTTTTGGCTTGTTCAGGCATTACGTCTAATAACCACGCTATATGAATTTTACCCTTCCATGGTGAACTAATACACAGTGAAAGTCGATGTTCGGGACCAGCGTTTTAATCCGTAATATCGACTTGTGAGTTTTATATCAGATATTATTTAGTAAACAAATTCCGTTCTCCGTTTTATTGACGGTCCGTTATATCGATGGTCCGTTATATCGACTTTCACTGTGTATATTGTTTTGACTTACTACAATTTCAGTTGCTATCTTCTGATCGAATATCGTGGTATACAATACTAAACCCAGTTACGGTTCAAACGAAAATTCAATCTTGTTATAAAAATATATACTGTATATTAATATGTCAAACCCTATCTATATCACATCAACAAAGTCCTATCTAATACTAAGTTTATTTATACGGTTAGCATTATATGAAACAACGTAAAACAAAAATTGAATGCTGTTACAGGTATATTAATATATGTAAGTCTAAAACCTAAAAGCCTTCAAGCATATTAATCTCTATAATCGATTAAATTGTTTAGAATGTATTTAAATGGACCCTACACTCCCAAAGAATGGGATGAATATTGCAATAAGCACAAGTTCGCACCAATGAAACTCCTGAAGAGTGGAAAGAGCGAATTAGGACCCGCTTAACATATTTCAGAGAAAATGAACTTTTTCCCGGATCAGAGTAAAAGATATCTGAAGCTAGCGCTAGGAAAACAATACTATTTCCGGATGGCGGTTCTTATTCGCCTAAAATTGGAATTGCAATATGCTTCTCTTGTGATCTATTAGTATATACTGGACAAAGAAAAAAGAATATAGGAAATTATAACCATATAGGAATGGAGAAAGGCATTGGAAATTTTCATGTACCGGAAATAATACTGTGGTGTAAATTATAAAATTAAACAAAAATCCAATTCTGGATATAATTATGACAATAATTATGCATTACGTCGTTATGGGTTATGGGAATACAATGCAATCAGAAAACTCAAACAATTGGCAAAAGATTCAAGCGCGTATAATAAAGATACAAAGAAAAATCGTGGAGTGGATTTACCCAGAAACTCGCCTTACACTATGCATGTTTACAAAATATTAGAGCAGAAATACGCACTTCAAACTAGTAACGTACCTATTTAACGATCTTATGTGTCTAATTTCAAAAGCGTGCCCCAACCCAAACGAATATAGAGCGGATCCTCTTTCGCTCTAGTCAAGTCAATCACAACGAACTGCCGACCTTGCAATTCTTATCGATTATATATATCAATGGCGTTACGCCATTTTTTTGTATAGCGCCTAACAATATCAACCAGTTCATCATATGTACCGGCCCTATTAAAGAGTATAATATAATCTAATTAATTTCGGACAGTCGAGTTACGTAGATTGAACTGATGTTGGAATAGCGTCCCTCATTAAAGTAAAGGATGATTTTTTTGAGGCTCATTACATAAGTCTTCGAATATAACTACCGTCCTTCTTTCAGGAGAAAATTCGTCAATCTTGGTATTTTGTCAGGCTTCATCGATCGGAACGATGTGGCTTTGGACTATTCGTAATGATTTGGTAACAATCTCTCAAATGTCTATCCTTAAGATGGTGTCCAATCAAGACTAGATCGTCATTTTATAAAACGTGTCCAACATTTAGAGAAACATCGCTATCGGTTTGACTGTATTAATGATTTTGTTTCTGTCTGGGAGCATACTGTATATACACGTAAAGACAATTAACTCATTACGAAGTAATTTCCCTACAAAAAAGCTGAAGTTTTATGTTATCAGATACAATGTGCTTTTCAATAAATGACGTCCGACTCAAATATAATTGTTAGCGCCTCTATTATTAGTATTAAGTATACAAATTGCTGTTATTTATTTACATCCTAAGACTAATGTCAAAAAGGCAATCACCGATCATCAAACTAGACAACCAACCTAATTTAGATATTCACGTTGGATGACCTGTTAAGTTTTTCCTTCAAACTTCGTAAGGTACTTTGAAAACTCTAAAAGCAACTCGATGATTCAACCTGTTTGTAACTATTTCATTTAGATCCGATAGTCACCAATATTTATAACATCAATTTAAAATCGGTTTGTTCCTAATAATTGTCTTATTTGTAGGCTCCTGGAAAGAGGTATGTGCCTTTTGTAGACGAGCTCGAGCTAACTCGTTATTAATAAAGACTCACATTTTTACCAATAGTTCGAGTAGGTTTGATTAAATTTGTTATTTTATTACACATCACATTGATAACCCATTATAAATACACCGAATTTTGTGGTATAGTTAAGCGCTCCATAAATAAAAATGTCTATTAACAGGAGATAAGGAATGAACAGCCCTAATATTAAGGGGAAAGTATATATCTATATATCTACACCTAGACTATGGGGGCAAATCCGACAGCCAACTTTTCAACATCATAGACCGAGTACACGTTCTTGAGGAAAGTGTCGCCAACCAACCACTGGTCAGGACCACCAATTACACCACCAGAAATACCTGAAACACACTCATTATTTTGTCCAGTGGGAATAGCCGCGAGATCCTTGGTACTAATTTCGAAGTTTTTGCCACCGAATGTAAGCGATACTACTGATTTAGTGTCACAAGGGACAATAAAGTTGTCACCACTCTGCTGAGAACCTGGAATTTGCGCGTGAATGGCCGCGGCATCGTCAGGGGGAGCGATCAAGAGGGTCGTGCCGGTGTCAATGATAGCAGTCTTCTGCTGGAAATTAAGTGGCTTGCCATCAACGGAGGCATCGTCCAGTGCGATTTCCCAAAAACCTTGGTTACTGACTAATTTGTTGAATGAAATATCTCCCTTGAATAGAGTGTTGTCGACTCCACCAATGGTAAGTTGACCTTGAGTGTTATCCTTTTCGCGACCGAGGAAGAAACCAAACAATGGCTGTTGGACAGTTCCTTGTTTGACCAAACTGTCGAATGGTGTGACAGCTCCTTGCGAGCTCAATTGATCTAAACCCATACCGAGGATACCATCGAACTTTGAACCGGCGAATTCTTGCGACTCCGTGGTGGTGAGGCCGAACGTTTGCTTTTTGACGGTGAGACCGGCAATCGAGACATCATCAGTAGCAATAATACCAGAGACTGAACCAGTTCCGTATTGAATCGAGAACGGCTGGTTATTAGTCGAGAAAGTTTTCGACTTGGTGGTATCGAATACAGTGTGCTGTGTGCAAGCAGTATCTTTACAATTTGGTCCGGGTACCCTAATTATCGAAAGGGATAATAAAATTTGATAAGCAAACGCGCATATATAATATAGACAATATGATCAAAAACCGTGGAAATGCGAAAAACCGAGTGTATCTAAATAAATTCCTTCTCTCTCTGCTTACCATAAGTCAGACGAACCAGTATCGAAGATGGTGTTGAATGTCTGTCCACCAATGGTAATTGGTCCAAAGTAACCAATGTCATTTCCTTCGTTGGAAAGAGGGTCGTTGGCAACGCCACCAGAGGCTGCTCCACCGCTAGTTCCATTTTGTTGACTACCTGTTTCTGGGATCCTATTAGTGGTACCATCTGCGGCGGCGATCATTGGCTTCTTAGCCTCGTCGACCAATTTTTGGAAAGCAGCTGCACTGATACCAGCTTTTCCTGCATCGACTAGTCCTTGAGTATATTTGAGGTATTTCTTAAATGGGCGTTTGTTAAAGAGGTCAACTTGCTGTTTCCAAGTAAAGAGGCTACTAGGACCCTTCTTTTTGATGGTGATGGAATGAGTTCCCGTGCTGACTGGTGCTGCATTGATGCTGCCGGCAGTTATGGCGAGAGCAAAGGTGAGAATGTGGGCGAATTTCATGGTGTTTTTATTAAATAATATATGAAACAGAACCGGTCTGCTAGGTGGATAGTCTAGGTGTATTGAGATATATAGAATGAGAGTAATGTGTGGGTTGCAATTGAACAGACCTGGCTGTTTGAATTGCAGAGATGATTGTGATCTTGAGGAAAAGAACCCTCCCTGGTCAGCATATTTATAAATGTTTTCTTTGTATCGTGGCGTAGTGGTTTAAACAACCAGATCAAAGTTGCGCAATAAAGTGCTTACTTAATTTAGATATCTGGCTATTTTGTTGCACCGAACGCAGAACACAAATAACGCAACATACAACTATATTAAACGCAATTATACAAAATAGGAAGCACATCAATGTTCAACCCTTAACAAGTGTTTGAAGGAAGTGTCTTGCATTCATCTCAACAAATCGATTGATTGGTTTGTCAATCGCACAAGGAAGTCGTTGAGGGCTAATTATATCTTGATGTTTCATCCTGGTGAAACATAAAACCTTTTGTAAGTGCATTTTGGGAAAGTGGGTTTGTCTAGCTGTGTCATCTAACGTGCTACGAAATTTTACCCCTTAGAAATTAGAATATTATCATCGTGATCGGCCGACGTCGATCGTAACGTTCAACTGGCATGTGCGAACTATGCAGTTGGCCCAAAATTAGCAGACTAAAATGCATCAAATCAGCGAACTCTTGAACCGAGACTAGCTCACACGTGTTGACCAACCTCCTTGCTGAAAGCGAGAGTCGGATATACTACGTCATTATACATATTATGTGGAAGTTATATGATGATATACAGAGAATGCTTCGTAGACATGTAGAGCACGCTTGTCTGCTCTAAAGATCTATTGGTAGACAGTCTGCCTCAAAAAGTAGAGGCCGTATTAAACATAACAGTAATAGAGCCTGCTCTAATGCATTAATAATAGATAAAGGTTATTGTTATTATGTATATAAAAATTAAATTTGATGATCTTATATTCTTAACTTTATTATTATATCAATCTGACCAATAGCGAGCGCAATAAAAAGTACCAACTTACTACGAGTATAACAAATTAATTAAACAACTTTACGACTAGTTGTTTGGTTGCCGGCGGTAACATCAATATGGAGAACAGTAAGTATCAGGATATCGATGACTGGTACAATTATCAACGGAATTAACGGGACTAAATGACATAATGGATATATCTCAGAATCAAAATATGTAAAGCCCTCACGATAAACGGCGTAAATTTATGAATAGTAAGCAAGGCTGGCCTTCTTGTTGTTGCACACGATTTATGGTTAAATTCAACTATGCTATTACTATGCCTGATGCCAAATTGTGATGCAGTATCACCACTATTCACAATGTTATCATATTGTTCTTGTATGGCTTTATGTACATAGATTTTTAACATTACATACTAATATCGTACATGCCGCATGGAATAGGTTGGACGAAGAGCTATTGCCAACTATTCTATCGCTACAGTTTAACTAAGATGCGACCTATTGCTTGAGAATTCCACAACCGTAAATACATAGAGTATAAGCAGTCCTTCTCTAATGTTGCTCATGTATTACACGTGTATATTTGCATACAATAGCAGTAGTTCATGTGGTCGATATATTATTCATAAATTTGCGTACCTGATTCTTACACTATTTCCAATCTTCCACGTACATAAAATGGATTACGTGATGATAAAGCTGTACATACTGCGCTGATAATGTCGTGGGGGGGGGACAAATTGGCATTAATTATCCGCAGGTTTCAAAAGTTAAGCACCCAAATTATGTAAAATGACAACAACGGTTTCTTAATGTATTAAAGGCAGCCAACAAGTAGCCATTCTAGGAATGAGTTGTAATCTATCAACTTTGGAATTAACTTTTCTTGGGGCGAAGAATCAGAAAGATCACCGAACTTGATATCGTTTATTAGAATACCAACACTAAATAATTCTCTCATCACTCTTAGTAGGCACCTAACGTTCCTTCATATACCAAACAGTATTACTGTTATACTTAATATGTTTGGTAGGCAAAGTTATTGCGACTTATGAAAGTCATTTACTGTAATAGAGAAATTGTTTTCGAAGGTTGAAGGTTTATCCGTAATATTCATAGTAATTGCAAACTTTTAAGTTATTGATTACTTTACATATGCGTGACGTTGATGTGCATTCTATCGATGAATTAGACTCGGAAATCCCCTTTAATAATATTATAATCAAATTTTTATACCATAATATGTCATAAATATATCTTGTCCTTTGGCTTTGGGATAACAACAACAAAAGCGATGTCAGCATGACCTTCTTTTCCGCTACCAAGTTGTGCATTAAATCAGTCAAGCAAGATGCTAACTGTTCAATCTCTTATCAATAGATTGAACGCTAATCCATTCAAAATCGGATTTTCGAAGCAATTTAATATCTTCATTTGTTTTGCAAGTTTCATTTGTTGCTTTAAGAGAAGATTAACAAATGGATTTGCATAATTATATGATTTACATCTTGCTTCTAACGGACATCCTTTTTTGAGTAAACAAATCAATTTAGAAACGCTCGGCTTTTATTTATTTAATCTCGCTGATGGTTTTGGTATTGCCCTTTCGGGGAGAAAATGTCATGAAATAATGTGTACCTACTTATCATTGTCAATTGGGCGAATCTAATGCAAGTTTAAGATGTCTTTTTGTGACCTATTCTTGAATGACTAGTCAAATACTCGCTCATCATTCTTTGTTCTTTTCCTTTTGTTCCTATTAGTGTAACCTGCGTGTAGAATAATAATATTGACTCACGTTGATTGTCATGCAAATAGGTAACGTGACATCGCATCCACATTTGTTTTCCAGTTCAATACTTGTGCTTCATACTTTCAGTCAGGAAGTGTCCGCATTAATTAATTAGGCAAAAATGATAACAAAAATTCACCAGGCCTTTAAATTTCATATTTGTACAAAACCCCGGAGCATTATCGCTATTACTATGCCAAGAAATGATCGTCGATAATTAATGTTGAGTAACACAGTCGGCCGTTTTCTTGTTCAGTTGATTCAGTTCTTTATCATTTATCACTCTATTGTAAAGCTAAAACGGTTACAAGCATGTCTCAGGCCAGGCTTATTGTCTGTACTGTGAGTTACAAATATAAGCTCTTTTTATATACATCAAGTGAAAACTGCATGTAACAAAATAGTCTCGCTTCAATTCAAGCGCAATTTTTTATTTGTTAGACGACAAGGTGATTGCCGATTGGAAGCGCTTGACTGGTTGTTTGTGGAGAAATCTAACTAATATTGCGTGCAAATTCATGTGATTTAGACTTGTAACAAGTAATGATTGCCTCAGGGTCAATAGTATCGCTTTGTTCGTTTTCCAGAAGAGTATATCAGGATTTTATCGTATCCTTGAGCGTAATTCTACGTATCGATTGGATTAAAATCCTTCAAGTGCGCTTGGAGTCATTGTATTGCTGGAAAATCTATCATATATCTTGGTTGCATTACAAATTTCATTGTGAATTCGTCAATTTACAATGGATATTCTCGAACAAGCTGCTTTTTCCAAAGTAAAACAAACCGTTACTAATTACACTGGCTTGCAAATAATATGTATAGCTTCATAAGCCATGTAACCGTCTGTATATTATGATTTCGTTAGCACTTTACCTTATGAAGCTAACAAAAAGCATACTCATATTGTTATTATCATCAAAAATTGATAAATTACGGGATAAAAGACTAATAAATCAGTTAAAAGACTATCATTAGAATCAAATACGCGTTAACAAAATAATAAAATTTTGTGCAATTCATAATAAAATGTAAATTTACCGATTAAAATTTCTATTAAAATTTTTATTAAAATTATTTCATAGTGCAAGGTAAAGGAAATTATTATCATGGCATTGGTATCAATACGAATTGTAGTTATAATAAACTCAATGACACTCTTGCACTACATTAAAGTTTTCGAACTTATTCTCATAGTTGTGAAATTAATATGATAAAATAACAAGTAAATAGACATTATAAAAAAACTTCATATGCTGAATCCCGGAAATTACTTATAAATTAAAATGTTGGAATTGGAAATTAACCTTTTGAGCGTATAGAAGTCATTCGCCAAGCGTTAAAAGTCTTCTATGTTAATAACTACTTCTGCTAGTTATCTTTCTTCAAGATATTATCTATTTGAAGCAATTCTACGGAAAAATCTTTATGACGGCGATTATTTTGCCCAACGAACAGAATACGTAAATATAATTAGAATTAGAATTCTAGCTAGGTGTGTTTGATAATTGCGTTAACAATAATTTTATTACTCACAACGGCTTTTGACAATGTACAGGAAATACAAAAACGAATGTAGACTTTATTCTGATAAAATAAATTCTAGACTTAAAAGGTAGCTTACATTGCGTGATATGGCTGGGAGGATTGTATAGCAGACACAATAAACGTTATGTAACGCGAGCAAATAATTCGTGACAACGCGTTGCAAGCGTGGTTGCTTAGATCTTGTTTAATATTGCGTTTATTATATTAAGATTTTTTCTTCCTCCTTTATTACAACTATTATTTTTTAATTTGATACGTCCTTTTTTTCATTACGTAGCGTACTGTATATTATCTATTAAAGGCTTTCATAAAAAGCTAGTCGATCGTTCCAGCGCTGTCTGTAAAAAATACTTGCCAAGTTCAGTGATCTTGGCAAAAATTCACATGGTCTGCCACGCCGATCATTTTGCCAAGAAAATTTACCCGTCTGGCGATCAACGCCCATTTAATATTTGCGCCGAACAAGTTTTCCGAAAATTTTTTTCCTCGTTGGATTCCCATTGTCATCGCAATCGCCATTAGTGACCAACTTAATTATGATTCAGTCGATCCTTGTCGAAACATCACATCTTCACGCAAAGTCTCATTGTACTGTATGTGCGTTTCTTTCTATTACGCTGAGTCGAAGTTTGTAATTCGATTAATTGGATTGCAGTCGTTAATATCCTCCGTCTAAGCAATGCCAGGAAGAATGGATGAAATAAATTCGCGTCGTGTTGCTTCTTTTGCGTTGTGATGTGAAAGCAAGTCTTAGCTTTATAGCTATATCTTCCAAAACGTGCTCCAATACATTTCTATCAGTATTCTCAGCGGATTCTCCATCGAACCTAGGCAGCAAATAAAACTGTCGACTGTTAACCCTAATAACGTCATGCTCCGATAAAAAGTCCGCGACGAAAATGGCTGCTACAAAATTAATTTCTGTTAAACATGCTGAACCACAGAACAATTCATATTCCTTGACGAGAATCAACTCTACAAATATAGTACTTCATATTATTGAGCTTGATTAACAATTTCAATATTAAATTCAGCACCAGTGAGATATGATGTTGATCAGATGTCACAGAGGCCAATTACTGAGGAAGTTCCAGAGATGGGGATAATTGCACTATAACTTATTCTCTTTGTCTTCAGTCCTGGTTTCTCATTTTCCACAATTAGAGACAGCATTACTAGATTAACAAATTGCAGAATTGGCACACATAGCCATTTGAGTATTATATTATCGATTGAATAAAAACTGCCAAGACTCTCATAACAATTTTTGTGTATCCAGCTATAATATAATATCAGGAGAAACTGAGTTGTTACTGTCGTTTATTTACAGCTAAAGTTCCGGGGGCAATGCTTATTTAAGGTGTATTTTTTGTGAAAACGAGAACCTCTCTTTTTTTGCTTAAAAAAATAAAATAAAATAACAAGTTCAACATGCTTGGGCTTGGTAAGAGGTGAAGTAAAATTTTATTCAAAAATGTTCCAAAATTATGGCAAAGTAATGCTAAGAGACGAGTTAAAGCAATTTATGGAAGAATATTCCACAAGCAACCCTTATTAGTTTTATAGACTCGATGAAACGAAGATGTGAATTAATTATTGAGCACAATCGCGAGCACGTATCAGTGGTTAACGATTTTTCGTATGGTATCATTACGCGTGACCGCTTTCGCGGATATATCGCATTACATTATTCGAATAATCATCATCCTAGGACCTCTTTCACAATAAGGGGCTTTATTAGATACTTTGACTGTCGGAAAAAATATTTTACAGACAAGACTATGGAAAATTTGGAATTATTAATTTAACAATACTGTTAATGGTTGTAGATATCGTGAGTTGTTAGTATCGCGTAATGAAACAACAACTCACATTCAAAAACCTTGGATTATTTCTACTTTTATTCGACAATATGTATTTACAAAAATAAACTTATACTGCAGACATGTATCAGCCGCTGTCCGGGCAAGTTCTTGGTGTTGGAACTCAAAATAATTAAAACACAACAACGGTCCAAAATAACCCTTTTAAAAGACAAAACGAATAGCATCAGAACATTGCTAAAATATTATGCAACTTGGAATAAATTACTTAATTGCTACGATGTCTGAAAATTACTACAGTCGCTTAACAAGAGTAATGCAAGCTCAATTTATGGAAGATTTCTCTAGTAAAAAGGCCTTCCACAAGGAAAGGCTATGTTAGATAAAAAGCAAAAGTTCTTATCGCAATATTAGTATGATAGGTTCAAAAAGGTTTGTGCCCGAAAAAGTCAGCACCCATGAATGTTGTTTTCTATCTAATAAATTTCATTTCAGTGACTTCGTTGCACCTCATCATACCGATAAGAGCATTTTTCACCAGTTGGTTGGCACTCATTCCCGGGAAAACGACTTAGATATCTCACGTGAGCAACTGATAATGTTGGCGAAGCTAACAATACTTTGCCAAATTATATCCAACAAACGATATTATCCGTAAACAGTGCGTGACTGTCAACCGGATTCCAACAACGTGCTTAAAACGATGCAAGTTAATGCAAACGAGTAATAATGGGACCGATGTTTTTATGCTTTTCTAAGCAATAACGTTATTATTACAAGTAAATAAAGTATACCGATATTATACCGATTTGGGCAGTTGTGATGCGGGAAGATGCGAGGTTTGATGACCTAAGCCATATTCTAAGATTTAAAAAAAAAAGTCGCTACTTTTCGTTTAATTAACGACGCAAAAAGGGGGATTTAGCAGATTTACCAGGCGTTTTCTAACACTTTCATAGAGATTTCTCTCTTGCCGATTTAAAACATATAGGACTACGGATTGAAGAATTGTCACCTTTACTGTTTGTACGAAACACTACCACATCTACCGCTGCACAGCCAGGCAAACTACGTCTTGTCGATTTTCGAAACTAGTTGATGCACGGAAAATGGTCATATTATCTCGCAAAACAGCCTTGCGACACAGTGCTCGTTCCATAAAGAATGTAGACAAAGGCTGTGTAATTCCCTTAACGTCATTGTAACGCTACAGCCATGCAGAAAAATGAAGGTAGCCTGATATTACCCGATGAAACCATTCTCAAACCTGACCGATATGCACACTTCACGCATCCCTGCAATTTCTTTTGAATTCCCAATTGCTTGTCTTGTTAGCGTGCAACATCTTTCTTCTTCCCCAAATGGATGCAACCGGGTTTTAAAAATTGTCGGTAATCCTGCAAGAACAGTCAGACGTTCTTTCTGAAACAACAACCAAAGAGACGGGTTGACTCCTTATGATCCGAATGAAGAAGTCTGTTACACCAGGAATATATACCTCATTTCCATGAATTCAAACTGTCATATGATATCTCATATTAGATGCTGTGTCCCCCATTTCCCAGTCCAGTCAAAGCTAGAGCACTCAAAGTTGCATCTCCCTCTATAGACCATTCGACACTGTCCTCCGCGACATAGTAACCAAGTGTCAAATTGCTACATATACTTACCATACTTCTTATTATTGAATATAACTGCGGTAAGACATTATATACGGATATGATATAACTTTAGAAAGAAAGGCAGCCAGACATATTCCCACGCACCGTGTTCAGATGTTCGTTCGTCCTCTTAAACTATCAACTTCCCAAGTCCGAATTCATGCACCAACTTTAATATTTGACATACTTGTAAACATTTAATTATTGGGTTATATAGTATTTATCGATCAATTCTAATCACTAATTACATTTCTAATCGAATTAACAGACACCGGAAGCGGAAACAACAGATATTCGCCTATACTCTAGACATAACAACAACTGGCTACACTAGTTAATGCCTGAACATAGATACGCTTTCCCTAATCACAACTCTCCACTTGATAGCTCACCAATGTCATTCAAATCTGCTCCTGTTGAGCCTCCCATGCCAGCTACAATGACACCCTCGCCTCCTTTCCCGTCTCCTACTGGTGAACCATTCTTATCACGCTCATTGCCTCCACTCGAGCCTCAACACTCTGCCATTCCATCTTATTTAACTAATCAACGACGAGGCTCGATTACGGACCCATCTCTCCACCTTTCTGTTCCCAAACCAGAAATACCTAGACAATATTCGCAAACAGATATAAACTTTGCATCCAACGCTCCAATTTCACCTCCAAATGAACGAAGAGGGTCATTTGTAATGGATAACTACCCGGCTTCCCCCTCTTCATCTCTTTCCCGACCGCCTTCGGTAAAGAGCGAGCATTCATTTCCACTAATGGATTCGAGGAATAAGACCTTACCATCAATCAGTGCTAGCGCTAGCCCAATCAGAGATGGTTTTCCAGGGCCACTCATGAACCCCGCATTCCAAGCTCAATTTGCACAGAGACGACACTCTATTGCGGTCGGTGAAGTTGTATCTCCAGCAACTAAGCGAAAGAGCTCACTTGGTGCTTCCGTGCTTTCCAACTCTATCAGTGCTGAAGATTATGCTGGCAAACGAAGAGATTCAATGACTGATCCGATATCAAGACTATCGCTCTACGACCGTCGTAGCTCATATTCTGCCCCATCTAGTCCGCCGGCACAACCATCTCCGTTTGCTTCATCGAGTAGTCCAATGCCAAAGCTCAATGTGCATGAAGTCGATAATAGTCTACAGGCACATGCAGATGCGACTGGCTTACACCATCCCTACGGAGAAAGCTCTTCTGAACTCCCGCCTCCTAACAACATGTCTCATCTCCAAGATCAAACGGATACTCAGGTTGCATACCCTCCATTCAATCACCGTGTTTCACAAATTGTACATGAAGATGTCAATGGCGCCCCAATATTAGCTCGCAGAGCGTCTATGCCTCAGATGAGTCTTACTTCTCGATTCAGCGATCACAGTCAACAAGAGGCCACGCCTATGGATGTCGATCGATATCGATCTCATGGCTATGCCACTCATAATCATGCCTATCATCCATATGCATATGAGTATTCGGGATATATTCCAACCACTCCAACCATCAAAGATACACCTTACTCTCGCTCACCCGAGTTGAGAATTTCTCACAAGCTTGCCGAACGCAAAAGGAGAAAAGAGATGAAGGATTTGTTTGACGAATTAAGGGATTCATTGCCGGTTGACAAGAGCTTAAAGACTAGCAAATGGGAGATTTTGAGTAAAGGTATGTAATGTCTAATTAAGTGCGTAGTACTTTACATGAGATGTGTGTGTACACATTTATCATATTACATTATTATTTATATTCTCCCAAATTAAATATGCTTATTCAATTGTCTAGCTGTCGACTATATTAATAGACTTAAACAGAACCAAGACGATTTAAGCAAGGAAGTAGAATCTCTGAGACAACAGTTAGCAGCTTTTAAAGGCTGTAGCAGCAATAGCAGCAGCAGCAGCAGCGGTAGCAGCAACAACAACAACAACAACAACAACAACACCACCACCACCAATAACAGCAATAGTAACAACGTCAACAACAACAACAACAACAACGGCAACAGCATCAAGTAAGTTGCACACAACTATCATTCACTGTATCAATGATATCCAATCAGTTTCTATGGGACTAAATAATATTCCTTTTCCGGTTGATAGTGAAACAGGTCCTTCACAGTCAACCTCTTCATGAACCATTGTCAGGAAATTGAACATTCCTGATAAAAGTCCGTCTTGCCCTGTTATAATGGACAAGCACCATCTCTTTGTGCGGCTTTCAGTTGCACTTGCTATAGATCAACTTACAATACGGGCAGGCCGATTGATTGCTATTATGATTCTTTTTGGTTTCCCTCTTACTATTCCTGTCTATCTCTCGTATTAAATCTGATATCCCCTGTAACATATTTCCTTTCCTATAATTGAGAAGATGACTTTCTTGGTTATTTCTTTCTTTATATTTGTAAATTTGACCCTTTCTTGTGATGTCTTTCTGTTTTATACATTGCTTTTGGTGGATTATCATCTAATCGGGACAACCGTGTTATATTAAGACACAACAGCGAATATCAACTTTAGTAGATCTTATTCTTTTGTCCCTGTATATTCTATAATATTATGGGAGTCATTGATTTACTTCTTTCCTCTCTCTTTTTTATCTTTCTTTGTATTAGTTTGTAAATGGGCATTAAGAAGTCAAGTGATTTACGATAGATGTAAACTGTGAAGTAGAATTTCTATAATGTTTGTCATGCCCAAGTATGCTTGTCGATTGAACGGCAATTGGGTTTGATAAGCGTGAATATATATACACATATATACATATGTGACTGTATCTGATAAATTAAATGCCGAGCGTGTGATGTAACGGACTTACATTTGTACTCAAATAGTGTTTGAAATAAAAGTCTGGTCGATTGATATTCATAATTTATGCATTTTGCATTCTTATTGATTCGATTGCGCATGTGATGATTTACATATTCAATCATAAATGTACTACCATAGAAACTCCAAAAGTCTAAAAAAAAAAAAAGAAAAGAAATAACCCAGGACCCAAACAAAGGCATACAATAACAATCTACACTATTAACATAAAAATGGCCTCTATTTTGATTACTTCGGCACGCCATGAGACTATCAATCCAGATTAGCGATTTGGTAGAATTGGTCAATCTGGCATCAACAAGAAGACAAGTGTACATATCAGCATCCCGCCAACTCTTCCATCAACATCGATTACCCAAATTGGTAATTATCATTACCTTCGAGATCCAATCTATCATTTCTTGTTTAGAAGACGCTTGTAGCATGTAAGCGTTGTTGTTCGTATAAATAGAAAAGACGTATTGACGCTATAAAACCAAATATGGTTATAAAGAGTCTGTATTAGTCATGTTCACATGTGTACATACTGTTCCCAATTATCAAGCTCACCTTTAACATATCTTCTCTTTCTTTCATGTAGTCAACGCGTACAGACGACAGATTTATGGCTCCAAGTTCTTCTGTTTCTTTTTGTGACTCATAGATGAATAAATATGGCCTACAAGATAGCAAAGACAAGTGTAAGTATGCTTTTCCAACACTACATACAAAATATAAAAACTAATGATATACATTACCTTCTCAAGACATACCACCGCTTCACCCAGTGATCGTCAGCATTCTCTGGCGTATTCAGATAGCCTCTTTTCGTTATTTGGTCACTACACAATACAAAAAAATGTCAGCAAACAACACAAAAACGCAAGCTACTGTTAGTCCACATTTCCAAGCATGAACTTACGTCTTCCCGACCATTCGCACTTGAGCAACTAATTTGGTGTCTTTAGTATGTTTGTATGTTTCTGCGTCTGGATAAGATCCTGACAAAGGCGGATCTTGATTAATTACAATCTATAAATTATCAAACTTGTTAGAAACATGTTAAGATTCCGACAAACGCCATAATGAACACTATATTACCTCTTTTGTCGTGCCCCATTTCTTCTTCCACAAATTAACTGCTTTCTTAAGTATCTCCTCGTGGCTTGTAGTGTTATTCATCTTACTACTGGCGCCAGCAACGACTACACGCGTTTCATCAAGGTTGTGGACCTGTCTCATAAACTCTACCGCTTCTCGTTTGCGTATTGATTCGCCTATTCGTTTATAGTCCTTGACTAATGATACCCCACGTGGTTTCCAATTACCAAGTAACTCTTCGCCGCGCACGTATTTATTCGCAGTATTCAAACGCCAAAGCTCTGAAATCTTGCGTGTCATTGGAGGTTTAAGCGTTATAGAAAAAAGTCCACTGGTCTTCCATAGTACTTTTGATGAGTTCAACAACTGTATCAATTTGGAAGGTGGTCGAGCTTCTCTTCCTTGTATTTGTACAGCAATATCCATATTGAAACAGATGGGTTCAACGCATTTCTCAGCTTCCACGTACCATGTTAATCTCAATAAAACTCGACTATTAGATTGAGTTGTGCGATTGAGGAATAGCGAGCCGTGTAGTGTACTATCCCACGAACATTGAGCTACAAGAGTACTCGTTCCATCTATATTGAACTCGACTTTGTGGGGAGGTACTATGTTCATTTGCACATCGTTCTGTGTAGGCGACTCGGCTAATCTACCCTTGCCATCAAGTAATCGAACATGGCCAATTTCCATCTTGGTTACACGAGTCCATGGAAATTGTCGACCCGAATTATGAGTGAGTGTTAGCACAATACGACGCTGTAAGCCTTGTCTTAAGAAAAATGCACCTGGATCAAGTGAATTCTGTGATAGCACTTGTACTGGCACATAGTCTCCACTGGGAGCCATCTCACAAACTTGGACCCACGCGACGACATCGTGCTTCTCCTCGGCAACAAGTTCTTCTTCTGATCGTCGTTCACGGGGAATAACACATTCGGGTAGACTGTCGCCAACACCTGCTTGAATCTCATCCCATTTTTCAATCTGCTGCAAAACGCAAGGCTTCGCTTTCCCGTATATTTCGAATGCCAACATGCCGTTCGTAAGTACCTCGACTATTGCTGGTGTAAGCGCCACTGACAAAGTCTGTGCATAATCAAAGCGAATTGGTCCTGTAGCAAAATCACTATGAAAATCTGTAGCATAAATGTGTTCCCCTGATGATAGAGGAGGAACCGCTCCGAAAGACGAGAGTTTAAACTGAACATGGACTTGAGTGTATTGTTCTTCATCCATTCCAGTGAGCTCCTCAATCCTAACCTCAAATACGGTATTTTCGGAAGGATCTTTCGATTGCTTGGAATCACTGATAAATTTAATCCGAACTAGGCATTGAGCTATGGCTTTTCCAGAATAACGGCAGATAACGGGAACTCTTTGTTCGTATTCAGACTTCAAAATCAAACATCTTAAAGCCATAGACGCACTCCCAATGAATGTAAATTGAGGACAAGGATTTTCGTAGAAAGGATCTTCCCAGTTAAAATGCTTACTGTACTGAGGTCGGTCAATAAAATTATACAAGTTGCGCATCTTTTGCATACGAGCTTTCAGTTTGTCGAGTGACCATACATAAACCACTCCATTCTTGAAGTCGATTACTTTCACACCAACGCACGGTTTCTTAGACAGATGCAGGGAAGTATCCTCGTTAGTATTGTATTGATTTAATGCTGACGTGCTTTCATAAAACGAAACAGGGTTGGTATATGGTTCATCTTCGATAATAGTAAGTTGATATTGAATTTTCTTTCCGAGCTCCCTACTGATGACGTTCGCTTCTTTTAATACAACTGCGTTGCTTAGTATTGTTTCTGCCATTTGTACATATCGTTGATGTTTCCACTTCTTCAGCGTCTTGTGAATCAAACGCAGCTCTTGGTCTGTGTACGGTCGGAACTCGGCAAAGTGACGATGATCGGATGTCGCTTGCGCGGCAGTTAATTTAGCCATTTTTTCTTTATACTCTTGAGCTTGAACCTCGAGCATTCTTTGCATTTCTTCTTGGACCATTTTGAGTTTTTCTTCCATTTGTTTTTTCTCGGCCTTCAATTCGTCGGCCTCCAAACTAGAAGCTGTCAGTACACGCATCTTCTCTTCATATTCTTGTTTCTGTGATTCAAGTTGTTGTTGCATCGCTTCTCCTACAAGTCTCTGCAAGTCTTCATCGGGTAAATTTCCAGGCCCGTTTAGTGCTGCTTCCTTCTTGGCATAGCTCCAGTCGATTACCGCCTCGGACATAAGCGAAGCAGTAGATGTAGGTGAATCCGCCCTTGGTGTATCCTCACCGCTATTGTGCTCCTTGGCTGTGAGACTAATGCTTAATGAATTCTTCGACCTGGCGCGCTCTCGTCTTACTTCTTCTGGATTATTATATCGGAATACATGAAAATCTCCCAGAATAATGCGAAAACCGGATTTTAATCTCTTCGCTTTGCTGGTCCTCATTCCATTTATTATAGTTAAGCTGTCGTTTGTAGGATACAAAGTGACTACGCCATCTTTGTTTTCGAAATAACAGTGCTCGGGAAGGATGTTTTCACCGCTCAATCGAATATCAGCGTGAACCTGGTCATCAAGACGTCCAACGCGAGTAACTCCCGACTTAAGTTGATATACTAGACATTCTGACATCAAAGGATCTTCGTTCAAATTTACTAAATGAGGAACTTTCTTAGGTGGATGAACACCAACAGCATTCTTCTCGACCATGATACCAAGCTCTTCCAAAGCCTTTTCACGTTCAAGCTGAATTTCTTGTGTACGACGTAATTTTTCTTCCCAACTCTCATTTACTTCAGTCATCAATTTTTCGGAAGCTTGAAGTTGGTCCATAAGTTCTCCCTTCTTTTTCTTAATGGTGTTACCCTCCTTGTCTTGAAGAACAACAATTTCTTCGGAATCACCGCCGCCTCCTCGAACTATCGTGTCACCAGGGCTAATACCGAGCTTAGCACGCAATTGTGACAATTCTTCCTTAAGTTCACGAATAAGCTTAGCATTAGGATCTTCGTTGACGATAGCCTTGTTCTTGATACGTTTGGCCTGATCGGCATATCTCAGAGTACTGAGTGTTTCATCATAATCTGCAGGAGAGATGGCTGCAATCATAGCGGTCTTGGAGTTACCACCCAAACTATCCTTTAGCAACCATGTCAGAACCTGTAGATTAAAAATTGTTAGTCAGTTGAGATGCTCGTCACATGAACTAAACTAAATATTCGTGTATTGTCTTACCGAATCTCTATAAGGTACGAACTGTTCCTTCTTTTTACTTTTACTACCACCAGACGGTTGATCGGCCAATGCAGCAATAACTTTCCCCAAAGTCGTCAAGGATTTGTTTATATTGGCACCTTCCTTCAGACGATCTCCAGTTGCACCAGTAGAATTGGCACGTTCAGACCCAGCTAAATCGACCAAACTATGAAAGTAGTTGTGCGTCAGAAAGGCCTATCTTGTACGAATGAAGAAATAAAAAAACATTACCTGATGCGAGATACTTTTTCCGTTTCCATATTTGTTTCCACATCTAGACGTTTTTGTGTAAGCAACAAGGTAAATACAGCATGCGAACGACTTGAAGTTGCGTTCATGTTTGTAGCAGCAACCGTTCTTGCCTTGATAATTACCAAAAAGTGAGTACGAGAGCAATGCTTGTCGACAATTCAAGCCCATGACTGACTAATATACCTTGTTACCCTCATCCATAAGATTTTCTATATCATCGAATGAATTGACCAACAATTTAGACAAATCTTCGACATATGGACCGAGTATAGGATGTTCTCTGACTTTTAGGTTGCCCTTGTTCTTCGGGTTAAGCAAATCACGAACACGTTCATTGTAAATTTCGATATACGACACTTGAACTTTGTACGTAATGTTTGGATTCTGGTTGTCGCTGATGCGTTCGAACAGAGCACTGCATGTCAGCGGGATTATACCTTTGTCTTCACCATATCCCATCTGATTACAGGGGGAAAAAAAAGCAAGAGATAAACGCAAGTGTTAAAAAGTGGCAGATTATATAAAGACTGTACAGAGTATGCCCAAAGACGCAGTATCAATATAATGAGATAAATAACCGCCAAACACCCGTAAGAACACTGTCAAACAGGGTCAGCACGTAACCATACCATCGAATAAGATTTTCCTGAACCAGTCTGTCCATCTAAAAAAATTTCGATTTATAAAAGTCTTTGTGAGCCAACCGACACATTCCTGTAAGCAAGAGCCCAATTTAGTATACGTACATGCAAAGATACAGGTATTATAACCTTCGAATGAATGATCGAGTAGTTCAACGCCAAGATCATCGTACAAAGTCTTTTGATCAGCATAGTTTGAGGAACTCTTGTCAGCCGACCAATACGATTTATCGAACGTAAAAGCCATATCTTCTTTTTTCGTGGATTTTGCATTACCGGGATCTGACAAGTCAGGCCTGTGAAGGACGGTCTGATTGCCGCGCATTTCAATTAGGCATTTTGCCCCACGAGTCAGTTCTAAGAAAAACAAGATTAGAGGCGATGAGAAACAAATTCAGTAGATTAGGATTAGCATCCTTTGGTTTCACAAAAGTGACGATGGAGGATGGTTGGCTGTAAAAGAGGAGGTTGAAATAGTATTAGCAGGATGGTCAGGATGGATACTTACCTCTCGTATTGAGGGGACGACATCTTACCACCACTTTAATGTTACCACCACCCGACATTTTTATGAATTTGTTCTATATATGTAACAGTTACAATATCTTATATCTCTTAAAACTTAGAGTCTCAGATTTTATAATACAGATGAGCAAAAGGAGAAATTTACAGAATAGATGGCAGGAAACAACTGGATACGTATAAAAATAACAAGAATGACGAGTAAAAGTCTAAACAAATATTTACGTTGGTACGTCTGCGATATAAAATTTACTCAATGGATATTTTAAATAAAACTGGAAACGGGGAAGAACATTATCGAAGCCAAGAAAACAACAGGCCACAAATCGCTGAGGACTCAGGCACGAAGACTTTTGGTGAGAGACAGGGAGTGGGGGTTAGTTATTGTTTAGACGCAGCGTGGCACCAATTTCCACGTTTAGACGTTTTCATGCGTATCAGGGATAAAATGTCGAAGTTGAAAAAATTTTCGATCGTGAAATAGTGGTCAATATTGCCTAATTTAGCATAGCTTTGATAAACCACAAATGCTGGGTATTGTTGTGATGTTTTGCTTTTTCGAATGTTGCTGATTTTTTTATTGTTTCCAGCCATAGTAATTGTCTCCATATTCTTTAGGTTGTTCCACAAGGATTGCATCTGCTGTCAATTGATATCAGTATGCATTGTTGGTGCATCGCTGTCATTTGATATCAGTACGTTGTGTGTAATATCCAGCAAGTTCTTTCTATGCGCCTAGAGGACACATAGCCTGCCAACAAGCCCTGTTTCGCATCGCATCGCCTATAACACTCTTTTGTCGAAAGGCGTATTCCCGAGGACGAAAGAAACCATTATCAGCTGCTGTCTAACAATTTCTACTAAAAATAGCAATTTGAGTTACATTAAAGAGAATTGTCCACCGAATTTTCTCTAATCAACATAGGGAATTCCTCGATATACATCAATAACAAGCTCTATTCCGCATGACTGTTCGTTGACGCTGCCACGTTAATTCGAAAGACATTCTTTAGATTTATTACATGTTAATGTCTTGGTCAACCAGTTTATAACGGAATTTCCATTAGAAAAAAAGAATGTAATCATCTTCATTTCTGGATGACATACTAAATTTATCAATTCTTTCTGGCTTGTAATTCTCTTTTTAAGATAAATTCAACCCTCTCAATAATATTATATTAGATGTTAAAGTAAGTCTTGTAACTTGTTACCCTTGCAAACAAACACGAAATGATAAAACGTTAGTATTAGGTTGTAAATTGATGCCATTCAGATCCCTGAAAATTCCACTTCGCGACTCTTTGTAAACAACACGCGTACCTTAAATACGCTCAAGAGACTTTTCTGCGGTTGCTCATCACCGTTGCCATAATTGACATACCTCGAAGTGCTTAACCCACTTTTGCGCATTCTCATTGTTGATCAGTTTGCGGAAGTAAAAGCTTCACCATAAAGCCCATTGTTTATAATAATAATACAAATAAAAGCCGACCGTAAGTGTACTAGCGCTTAAATCTAATAAATCCGGTCATCAATAGTAATTTATTCATCACCCCCTCAAAGTTTACCATATGAAAATATTTCCTGAATTTACAGTATGTACGTGTAACCTGCATACTCTATCATTCCTTTTTTTTTTTTTCCAAAGAACAACCAATCAGGCTAGTGTCACAGTCTGCAGGTTTAAACTTTATATCATACTCGTAATTTTATCAAAGGAATCGGCGCAAACTTTTCCCATCCCATTGCTGCGAAAGACGGGACACATAAATAGACTTCCGATCTATGGCTTGTTATCTTATTTCCTGACTGTACAAGGAAAGGATGGTCATTGGCAGAGAATTGACTAGTCTTGCGATCGATTGTTACATCCATCCGTGGGGTGAGAAAGTTTCCCGATGTAGTGGCATCTCATCACGTCAGCAACTCGGCACTTGTATCGAGCAAAATATTTCCATCGCGTTACAAACAAGATTTGGAAGACAACAAGTTTTATTCGGGCTGTTTAATAAATACTTCGGTGTATACATGCCCCATTATACCCCAATTTTTGTAATATAACTAGTATAATATGCCTAATAAGCAAACTACTACGCAAAATCTTAAAACATAATCTTAAAGGTATTAAAAGTTTAGAAGCATTTGCGGTGAACAATGGATGGGCCGGATTCATCATATTCTTGTTTGCTGATCCACATCTGTTGGAAGGTAGACAGTGATGCCAAGATAGATCCACCGATCCAGACGGAGTATTTACGCTCCGGAGGAGCAACAATCTTAATCTTCATGCTCGAAGGAGCCAAGGCTGTGATCTCCTTCTGCATTCTGTCAGCAATACCAGCATACATCGTTGTACCACTAGAAACAAGAATGCATTGTTATTCTCGAGTTATTTTCAAAAGTTTAATGTCGAGTATTTGATACGATACATACCCAGAGAGAACGATATTGCCATAAAGGTCCTTACGAATATCAACATCACACTTCATGATTGAGTTGTACGTCGTCTCGTGAATACCAGCTGCTTCAAGACCCAAGAATGATGGCTGGAAGAGAGCCTCTGGAGCACGGAATCTGTAAATCAATATCAACGATAATTTATTATAAACGGTTTGGATGCACAAAAAAAAAAAAAAAAAAAAACTTCCTGAAAATGACATGTAAACACACATACCGTTCATTACCAATGGTAATCATCTGGCCATCGGGTAATTCATAAGATTTTTCTAACGAGGACGATTGAGCTGCAGTTTGCATTTCCTGTTCGAAATCAAGAGCAACGTAACATAGTTTTTCCTTGATATCACGGACAATTTCACGTTCGGCGGTAGTTGAGAATGAATAACCGCGCTCCATAAGTATCTTCATCAAGTAATCAGTCAAATCACGTCCAGCCAGATCGAGACGGAGGATAGCATGGGGAAGAGCGTAACCTTCATAGATGGGTACAGTGTGAGTAACACCATCACCCGAATCAAGCACAATACCAGTAGTACGCCCAGAAGCATACAATGAAAGTACAGCCTGTAAAATTTACATTATAGCGAGCGTCAGTCATACTGATTACTACGCGATTAACAAAAGCAAAAAACCGTTAATTTTTTTACATGCCTGAATAGCGACGTAGAAAGCAGGAGCATTGAACGTCTCAAACATAATTTGTGTCATCTTTTCACGGTTAGACTTGGGATTAAGTGGGGCTTCTGTCAATAATACAGGGTGCTCTTCGGGGGCAACTCGAAGTTCGTTATAGAAAGTGTGATGCCAAATTTTCTCCATATCGTCCCAATTTGTCACAATACCGTGCTCAATAGGATACTTGAGCGTAAGAATACCACGCTTCGATTGGGCCTCATCACCGACATACGAGTCCTTTTGACCCATACCGACCATAACACCTTGGTGGCGGGGGCGACCTACGATGGATGGGAACACCTATCATCCGAACTCGATAGGTTAATACTGGTAAAACGTACAGTTTGCGTCTCCGCAAAGTCGGCTGCACGCAACGAATAACAATGTCAAACAGAGTAAAACCTACCGCACGTGGGGCGTCATCGCCAGCGAAACCTGCTTTACACATACCAGAACCATTGTCGATGACAAGCTAAGTTTTCGAGTCGAGGGAAAAAAAATTATTTATTAGGAAATACGAAAGCGTGTTTGTCCGAAACATGGTTTTAGATGCTTACAGCAGCTACTTCGTCTTCCATTTTATTGTGGCAAGTCTAAGCGTCAGATATTATTATAGAAAGGTGAGTGAAACTGCGGGATAAAGGGTTGAGATGTGGGGCGAGGGGTAAAAACTGGTGGACGCAAGCAAGCTTTTATGCATGGATGCGACACATAGCCGCAATCAATGTGGCCAAAAAAAAATGGCCAAGGTTGGAATTCCAAGGGGGCTTGGTTGCTTAGTCTGGCAGTATGGTTATGACGTTACGATTTCATAAGTCTTTTTTTTTGCTCCGGAGCCGAGACATCCGCAGCTTATTTCCTTGGGGGGGGTGAAGCAATTATAAGAGTTTCCAAGACTTACAAGCGACTATTACGTCCTTGATAACAGTGACATCGAGCTGTGGGATCAAAATCGATCGACATCTCTATGATATGATAGGTTCATTTTCAGCTGCTGCGTTCAGCTATAGCACCTTATAGCAACCTTGCCGCGCGAATGGTGTCACGTGGCTCACTGGTGACACTTTTACAAGACAGTATTCTTCTCGGGGGGACAAGAAACCGCCTTGTTTCAGTCTCATTGATTAAAGTGCTGAAGGGAACACTATGCATTCCCAAGACATGCTTGGTATCGAAACAAATATTGTGATCTCGGGTTCATCCACGTTTTCTTTCAACGTCTATACTCATCCCGAGATTCGTTTCCTAGTCGCAAAATACCCGTTCGCATATCACGTGTTTACTGCTTAAAGTGATGTTCGTACAGATAGTTAATAAGATGCGAAAATCATCAATTATCACCAAGAAAACAGCCAAATAAAGGCACGCGAATCACTCCCCCGCCAAGCATCACCAAGACTGCACATCAATCACGAGCCTGTTGCTGCTAACAAAGACTGCAAATAACCAAGACTACGAAAGGGGGTCACAAGTTGTAGCCATGAATAATAAGTAATAAATAATAACCAAGACTACAGAAGGCCTACGCCAAATACAAAATATTCAGGACTGCGAGTATCACAAGCAGAATAAAAGCCTGGGCTATTTGTAATTAATGCTGTACGTGAGAAGGATGTGATTAGGCAATAACCACCATGAAACCCACTGTAAATTCAAATCATTCTGCGCAAGAATGATCCGACGCCCCTTGGCAAATGGAGTGGATGTCAATCTTACACATGATTGCAAAATTTAATATTAATCCGGCAGTAGTACAGTTGTGGCGTCAACAATCTCGTCCCCCCTGCATTTTTGGAAAAGTGCGCACATTTGATTACCTTCGATCTGAATTTAAATTGGTTCAACTCAAATCGCAATTAGATTTAACATGAATAATTGTAAACCAGGCAAATGTAAAAAGCAACATCACTGTGCTTTATTGTGGAGAGTTTTTCCTCAATAAAATCTATACAAGTGGAAGCAACATTGCACAGGTAATCGAAGTATTAGTTGTATGTAGCAATTGGTATTCATAACGGTTTTTCTATGTTTGGAAAAAAATCCATGCCGAAATTTCTTTTTTCAAAATTATTTGTTTGTTTATTCTTATTTAATCACGTACCCAGATATCGGACAACCTCATGGAGTAGACGTGGATAACGTATTCATGTTTTCACAACGATAATAAACGTTGTGATGATGTAACTATAGTAGTTGATTCGCCCATCAAACTCGATTTTCAACAATCAGTTTAAATCATAATCATAATCATAATGCATCTCGATATAATAATAAAAAAAGGGTCCTAATATGTCAAGTGAAACGTTATTTACAGGAAAAAAATTTCGTAATAATGGTACGAATTAAAGGAGTGACTTGACTCGAGAAGGAGACATACGATTCGCGTTCTTATTTGTAACACATTCTATGAATACTAAAGTTGTTACACGTGCGAAACCGGGGAAGCAATGTTGTTTGTGAAAAAAACATGTGTTTGAGATTGCAATGTTAAAGTTATGATTTCAATTCCCTCCAATAATCTTGTTGGATTGCTGTAAGAATGAGAATCAATTGGACTTTGGGAAAAAAGTGCATAGCTCTGCATGAAACATATCAGAGTCACGTTTTCTGATAGCTAAATGTCCACACTGCATCTTACAAGAAAAAGCTGTCTATTAAAAAGAAACGCGACAACGGTGAATGTGGAAGGAGGGCAATCGAAATTGTCTAATGTCAAACAGTTGAAGATTTGCTTTCTCTTTATTCCAAAATTGAGATGGCTGAACTTTATAAACTACAAAGTAAAAGTGAGCACTGTACTAAACCGTTCTTCAAAAACAGTATTATTGATAAGCAAAACTTGCTAATATAAGCGACAATTCTGTACTACCAAATAACCAGTTAAATTCCAGTTTAACCCATAGACAACACGAGTAGAACCAATGGTAAGCGATTAGCGGTTACAGTCGATCCTACTAAAAATCAAATAACCAACAAAATACACCTACTTAGGTATTGTCACATAATAAACCGGTTTGTTCCGATGATTGATATCTTAGAGAAATACTCTAAATTCTATACATTCAGACGCAATTATACACTGCCAGTAATAATGTTCCAGCACTAGAACACATCGTTTATTCGATGAGGAAGACGCGAAAGATGGGGAGAATCGACAAGTGAGACTCGTAGAGGAAGGGAAAGTTCACAAGCGAAATTGATGGTAGAAAGTCGAAATTCTCCTCTCGTGCAAAAGACGAGAACTAAACTCTAACGAGGTTGAGTGTATGTATGTATATATATATCTATGAATAGATTATCGGTGAAAATAAGACTACTAATACAAATTAATAAAGAAAGGAAAAGAAAACCCCATGTGATTCGAACACAAGCCTAGAACACGCACATTCTATTCTACAAGGAAAGGGAAATTTTTTAACAAGTAAAATACAGATAAATAGGGAACCTCTTGTAGCAGTAGCATTCCTTCATTTCGTTGGGGAGAAATTGGAATCCCTGCCATTAATTAGAATGGATGGCAGTATAATTATGATGCCAAATAGATAGTATGTATCTATAGGTCTATCTCTACGTTGAAGTTCGACTTTACAATGCAAGGGCTATAACGACAGCTCCCAACGTGACTATGAAAGAACCAGCCCATTGAGCAGAGATGGCTGCACTCGCAAGAGGTACGGGATTTGGATCACTCCCCGTTGTGTTTGTAGGTGTAGAATTATCATAAGAACCATCTCCAGAACCATCCCCAGGTACAGAATCATCCCCCGATCCATCGGGTTTGTTGCCGCTTTTGTTGGGTTTACCACTATTGGTAGTATTGGTAGTATTGGTACTGGTATTGTTTGGTTTCGGCGCGGCCGTGTTATTGTCGTCAATTACACTTGCACAAAGAGTCTTCACTATCTGACCCTCTTTAGTCAAAGCCGTAGCATCATCCGAGTTGCAGTTACATTCGTCTAGAATCGTCGGTACTTTTGGCACCAATGCGCACAGACAGGGGATAAGTTTGGGGAAATCACCCTTCTTGGCAATGATTTCCTCGTCAGTAAGCTTGGAGAATTCACTTATTTCCGACTGTGGGACGTTTTGGCATTGTGGCAACTTGTTTCGCTCTGAAACCCAGCATGAAGAACAAGTATTACCGTTGTTGTCGGGTGCTGGTCCTGCAGACACGAAGACGGATGATACGAGTATGGCGAGGGAGATGAGGTGGTAGGAGATGCGCATGTTGTAGGTGTGTGGGTATGCGTGTATTATTACACGGGAAAAGGGTTAGTAAAGAGAGTGAAGAGGTAAAAGGAAATAGGTAAAATAAGTGAGTAAGCACGTCGAATGGGTGATAATGGTATTTATGTACGGTTGTTAATTTCGCATAGTTCAAGTGACACAAAATTCTGTAATACAGAGTATTCTATATAGTAAATTGCATTGCATGCGTATCAAGAAATCGGGTTTCACAGTATCTTATTTATAATTGAAAGACGTAAACTGCTTTATGCAATAGATAGATTACTGAGTGTTATGAAGAGCGCACTCGCATTAGTTCTTGTTTGTTTTATGTGCATGCATTGAATGTGGGACATCATCCGTAATCGGAACCTATTGGTTGCTTAGTTCTGTTTGGATAACGGAATTTTCGGTAACATTTAATTTGTCAGTGCCTATTACTTAATAAGGAAAGGCCATTAAATTAGTATTCCCATCCATCCATCAATCAATCGAATGAAATGAACACAAGCGAGCATGCCATAAGGCATTATTGATAAGGAGGTGAAAGGATAAGGAAGGGAGCAACTAGAAAGAAAAGAGAATGTGTCGATTGGCTAAAAGCGTGCAGTGTAACACTTTGGGATCAATAGTATTGTAACATAACATAACGACAATAGTAAATAGATCTTGGCCTTTAATAACTGTGTATATGGGAATTCATTATTATTTTCGGCAATGTCTTCAGTTTTTCGAAATCGATTTTTCCAAGCTATTAATAGATAACAATAACAATGCATGAAATATAGTATTGAGTAAGTATCGATAGTAAAATTCAAGTCGATTTCTAAAAGACGGCTCTCTTAAATTGAATGTGCTATATAGCAGGACTTGCCATTCCTAGTACTAGAGTGACTTTAACTAGTCGAAATTTACATAGACAATGATTATTTGCCGTCTAGCATATTTTTGCGACTTGAGATAATATATTCAATGCATAAACTTTTTTCTCATCTCAACTATTTATTTTATTGGCATTTTTAGAAATTGCAATACTTGGCAAGATCTAAACGTTTCATGTGACTAACGTTTTTACCTAATTTAACTTGTATTACTATTTCTGATATTATCTCTGTTTACTGTGAGCGGATATGAGAGATATACAAGGTGTGTTTACTTTTTTTATTCGAACGATTAAAAAATTTAATTTACATTATTGGCGTCCGGATAACGTGTATTCCTGTCTAAATCATAGGAATGATAAGCGTCTGGCGAATAAGTCTATTGCTATGTGTATTTGATTAAAGTAAAAACTTATCAACTCGTGATGAAAGTAAGTCGGGAGATCCTTTCTATTCAACGACTGGATGCATAAGTGGTTACAGATGTTATTGGCTACGTTTGACAAATATTACTGATGACTGTAAACATATCCGAAAAGATTTCAAATAAAATGTTATAAGATTGAGCAATTTCATGTGTAATCGTGTTAGATTTCGGCAACGATGCAGCGAGCAATTTTGCTCTTACCAATTCGTTTACTTGATACATTCCCCGGACAAAAGTTTGAACCCAAAACTATTTTGAACGTTTTTCAAATTGTACTAAATCACTAGTTATGATTTTTATATCATTTGAAAGCTCTTGTTCTCAACAAAGTTTTTTATTAATACCAAATTTGCATTTTATGAACTTTTATTATGACAAAAATTTAAAAATAAAATTGTCGTCGAAATTGCAAAATTGACATACAGTACAATTTTATATCCAACCATTAAAAAATTATATTTCTTACTAATCTTAATACCCAGTTGGCCAATCATTATTGGTAGTACATTCTTCAATCCTTCTGGGCATACTATCAATTAACTTTCACGAGGAATTTTCACCCACTCTTGTTTTAAAAAATTCTCCAATTTCGTGGAGGTTCAGGACGACTTTTTAACCTTTGACCAAGTTCATTCCACAAATGCTCGATTAGATTAAAGTCCGGATGGATTGTAACATATCAATAGTAGGCATTATAATTACTACTATTTCCTGCATGATCTCCGGAGAGAATCAAGGCTCATCAAGCAATGCCCGGAGAAAGATTCCCCGAGCGCCATTTTCATCTCGATCCATTACAGTTCCACAACTCCGGCACTTGTACTCCTATTTTTTGAACAGCTGCAAGTTTTGGAAGTATAGGCCTCGTTGCTTTAGCCACCAGGCGTTGGCGAAACTGATAGTGGCTCCAGCAGAGCATTTTGCGAACCGTTTTTCGTGATATTTTTCTTGGTTTTCGATTTATCATATTCGACACCTCAAAAGGAGGCGAATGAAAAATGCGACACTCTTTTTATAAAGTTCGCTTTGCAAGTGTTTGACTTATCAAGTCGCAAGGCCTGTTTCTTTTTACGTTTCGAACTAGAGGCAGCTAGTTTGTCCTTTACAGAAAGGAGATTTTTCATATGCTTGCATAGGTGAAAATAATTCGTCCAATGTTGTATTGGCCAATTTTACCTACGCCTTTAGTGTGAGAGTACCAGGTGAAGGGTGTACGAACGCCAGGATCGTTGGAAACTGCATGAAGTCCGCTTGGGTTTCGCGGAGTTGTTTCTGCGTCTCGTAAGTTTACAGTCGGACGTTATTTTGTGAGAAACAGGCCACTTATTGTTTTCGAAATGAAGCGGCCACAAATCGCGTTTTTCGTCCAGAGTGATAATAGGCTTATGGGTGGGGTGCGGAGATGAGTGACATAGAAGCGGTCCCACGTGGATTTGGAAAAGTTCTGCGCGCGAATTATCATTGTTTGTCGCAAATCTTTTCGGGATCGAAATGACAAAGACGAACTTCTTTGCTGATTTGTGGTTAATCCTATATTATCTTATCTCTAGCAGTTAACGCTTCATCAATCGCTTTGTTGATAATGTTTGCAGACGCCTTGCCGTGTGTACCTTGAAGGACCATTCCAATACGCACGACAGTTCGCACAAATTTGCGTTCACCCCATACGCATGATCTTTGGAGTCTCTTGTCCTCACGCTCATTAACATCTTTTCCTACACGAACATCCGCGTAAAGCTTAGCTTATCTTCAATGGGTTGAGTTTTTAGCCAAACCCATCGTAATAGACCAGTATGCGAATTTTTTGTATGGAAATGGCGGTATCGACTCCAGCGGACAACTAACTGCATTATAGGCATATCTTGACAAGCCCATCCACCGTTTCAATAGGACTTTTCAGAATGTTGCAGAATATTACTTTAGTAAAGCTAATTTACCGAACCACCATATCAACACGGCTCTTGACTGGACAATTATGCAGATGGTATTTCTCGCGAACTACGATGAGTTTGCAACAGCCCCTGGACTTGAGGAAAGAAAAGCATTTCACGGACAAATTGCACCATTTGTGGTGGCGTGAACAGGTCAATGCGAGACTTGAAGTTCTCTGCAATTTCACTTACACGCTCCTGTATTGTCAAAAATTTCGTCGTGAGTTTTAAAATAGAATAATTTTCTTAAAATATCAATAAAAAAAAGATACATACTTCCAATGCTACGAAGTGACAAAATGTCGACCTGCTTTTGAGGGTGATTTGGATATACCTTTATTGGCAGCGTACGATGGAGAGCTTCCAAGTGTTGCCGTTTGTTGCGTGCTGCTGTTGTCCTGATCTTGCGCTTTTTCCTTGTGTGGGGTTCTCGTCGGGCGACTCTTCCTCCTTGCTTGATTTCAGGAAAGTTTGTACTCGTCGGAGGTCGCTTTGTTGACGAAAACCATGAGTTTTGTAGTATGGGGAGAGTGGAAGAGGTGCGGCAGAGTCGGCCACAATGGGTAACCACAATTTCTGAGACCATGCCGCGACTTTTCCGTTCCAATAAGGTCTTACGTTTATGTTGGGGAGCTGAGGACCTCCTTTTGTTTGAACCCTTTTTTGGTGGGTTTGGCGGCGGCGGCGGCAGTGGTGGTGGTGGTGGTGGTGATGATGTTAGCATTGAGGGGAGAGATTATGTGTTTACGATTTGGATTTTCAAATGAGCAAAATATTGCAATGGTTAAAGAGTTTGGGGGATAATGTCTTTAAATATGTTTATGGTTGTCGGTATTTAAATGGCGGAACCGAAAACACGCATAAAACATGCGGTAACATTAATATTCTCCGTTTTATCAATCAATCAAACGACGACGACGTTAAGATAGATGGGTTTATTCAAAGGCTATGTCGTTTTAAAAAAGACGTAGTAAATGACAGTATTAAATGTAAAAGGCAAGTAACTCTAGACAGATATCTTATGTAAATAAAGAAGAAAGTTTTATTCCCGTTAATTAAGGACTGTCTTATAACAAGAGACTCTCGATATAAGAAAGGAATTTGGCGGGTCCCGATCACTTTCTTATATCGAGAGCCACTTGTATAAGGAAAATTAATTTCAATAAACACGGATAACTCACATTCTTAAACAAACCACATTTTCATGCGCGTAGGATTGCGCGTGGGCTCCATATAAGATTGCATGTTTTATGCGCATAGGCTCCATATAAGATTGATAACTTTACTATGAACAATACTTCGTTATGCTCTCCTCCTCTTCTTCTTCTTCAATTGTTTCGTTATCACTAGGCAATAAATTCATTATAGGCAGTTGATCAATTAATATTAAAGGATGCGCGTTATGCAGAGGTCTCACAACATTCTAAAATGGAAAATTTTGGTGTTACTCTTCTTATTCGAGAGATTTATAATAAACTTTCTTATATAAAGAAAATTTTTCGTAGTAAAAATCGGGACCAGCCAAAAAGCTTTCTTATAGGCTATCTTTCTTATATCGAAGGGTTCTTATATCGAGAGCCACTTGTATTTGATTTGATCCACACAAAACTGTATTAATCATCAGGTATAACCTATTCTGTCACTCTGGTGCAAATTCAAATTTTATTATCTTTTATACTATTGCTATTACTATCATTAATAATATTATTATCGATGTCATTAATTTATTTACACTTTTCTTCGTTAATCCAACGTTGAATTGCCTCAATTGTCTTTTTCTGCGGTGTTGTTCTTCGAAGATAAAAATTTCGTATTGTGGAAGATGCCATTTCGTTATGGATCCAATTCGGTTCGTTTATCATATAATTGTCTTAGATCGTTCCACAGTGTTTCACAGTTTTGTTACGGTTTACTTTATCGTTTGAATTAAGCTCTCATATTATTAAGCAAATTATGCTATTTAGCAATAGGCCGAGAATTAAGGAATTCGCTTGCATTTTTTGTAGTGCTTTAAACGATGTATCGTTTCAACGATATTTATTGTGAATTTCTGCGCATTGATATCATTGGTTCTTTCTAGATCCAAACAAGATATATTTTAATGGCCCAGCTGAAAGCAATGAATAGTGGAGAAATAACTGCTAGTCGACGTCTTAAAAAGAAAACGCGTCTAATAAAAGAACTTTTTACTATTGAGATCGCAATAAGCCGCTTTGCCAGAAAACGTATCTCAACATGTTGGGAATTGGTCGCTCACTCACTTCGAAAATGTTAGAAATCACTTGACGACGAATGGTATAATACCGCGCGTTCATGATAATATAAAACGAATACCGTGATGAAAAACCTAAATAACAATTGATATAACGGTTGCTACCGCCGTGAAGAAATCAATGGATTACCAAGTCCTGGCAGAAATATCAATCGCATTACGAAATCGCTTACACTTTTGTCAGCCGAAACGAGTTATAATTCGGTCTATCGTGATTTTATTGCAGGTCTAGAAAACGATAGCACATTGAAATTGTTAAAATATGGCGTATTCCGCAAGTTATGGCACCAATTAACGCCTTATATTCAAATTATGAGTCCAAGAACCGATTTATTACTAAATCAGATACTGATGTCATTACTGGTAAATATATTTGTCATTGTATCAAATGTAAAGAAAACAGAAGAAAAAGAGCACCCACTTTTGCCTAGTGAAGGGGTGAGTCGTTTTGCTTTTTATGAACAACAAATAAGCACTTTGCAAGAGGAGTTAGCTGCAGCTGAGGAAGCATTAGAAATTGAAAGAGAAGAAGTATAAAGTAGCCAAATTTCAAGAAAAGTCCGAGGAGTGAAGTAAAAGACAAAAGCAAGAATTATTGGGTAAGATTTCTAGCTTGGAGAAAAAAAATAAGGAATTAGAAGAGCAAAATAAACAATTAAAAAAACAAAATGAATAGAAAATTGTGAAAAGGAGATTGCTGAATTAAAAAGCAATTATCTCAGCTGACTTCTCAACAGCAAGTTGCTCAAATGAATGACGACGACAAAAAAGAATGGACGTAGTAAAGGTGGAAGTAGAACTAGAAGATAAGAGCCCATCGGAATGATAATAAGGAGGACGTAAAAGCAGACGTAGTAAAGATGGAGATGGAACTAGAAGATAAGAGCCCATCGGAGGGATTAAAGTTAAAAATAAAAAATAAATAAGAGATGACCTTGATTGAAATTAAGGAAGTAATTTAAATATTGGTAAATTTGCTAAGTATTTTTCTTGATCTAGATATTCCTCAAGAATTTTGGTATTGTGATTTTAAAAATATATGGAGCAATTTTTTCTCCTTGTTCTTTTTTTAGAATGCTTCTAATGGTGCTGTAATTCTTTGGTTCCATAGTAATAGTGGGTTTGATATAAATTAGTTTCATGTTTATATTTTTATATAGAGATAATCCTATATTAATATTGAACAGGTTATAATTTTTAGATAGTAATAGAAGTTTGCTACATAAAATTTGTGTACAAGTTATTGATGTGATAATCAAAATGTTATTAGTCAAATTAGTTAACTTTCAGCCACATCAGCCTCTCATTTATGTCACATAATAGAATGTTCACTTTGTCTGGCTTTGTTGCAGTCTACCCCATATCTGGTATAACAGGATTAGACTTCATTTGCCTGTCTGGTTTTAATGCAGCATGCTCTATATTAAGCTTACTGATACCTTCATTAAATAAGAAGCAGGAAAATGTGTTAAATATCTTTGACCACCAATCACATGTACTCTTCCATTCCCCAAATGCAATGAATACACGATTAATATGCACAAAGAATTTATAGAGAATTTACTAATACTAACACACCTTTGCTAATTCGATGAATGGTTTGGTAGATACATAATGGTAAGCTCAAATAAATCTTCTTCTTTGCCAATATTTTAATTCCGTAGAGTGTCTCGTCCGCTCTAGAGCATATATAGAAAGTAGTACTCAAGATAAAACTTGAAAAAGGTCCGATTTCCGAGTGACGGGAAACGACATATTAAACCGTAATTCAACATTCTGTTGTTATGCAGTATCAATAATAATAATAACAGTGACACCAACTGGTTATAAACAGCACATATGCGGAACATGTGATTTCTGTGTTAAAGGATTTTCTACTCTCCACATTCTGGGCATATTAATATAATAATAATAATAATAATAAAAAGGGACCAATCTTTCCTTGGTAAAGTTGAAGATGTTGGTGGTATCACATATTACAGTTGTATTAACTAGAGATGATAAGGCAAAGAAGTTGGTGAACCTTGTCTTGCTATAGTAATATTCAAAACGAATACAACCAAATATATTTTTTCTCATAACATAATTCCGAATGAGAAAGAACCCTTGAACCATCACATTACCCAAGACTCTAACAAAGATCTGTCCAATCCTGTTATTTCAAAAAAGACGTTCTTAGAGGAAAGGAAACCAATAGTGTGTCTAATTTGTGCCAAGACAGTTTCGCTAGAATCTTCCATACAGTAAACAATCCTGTGTACCTCACTAGTCGTACGCATTGTACGAATCGTCACAAGCTCATACACATACGAATACACATTGGGGTTAATTAAAAGATATTTTTGTCCAATATACTTCCTTGCCGAATCCAACGCCCGATCTTACCGCATAGACAGAAACGCCAGAGCACATCCAACACAAGCGAAATAAGTTGATCGACTATATGATTCGCAGAACGAGTAAAACTAAATTCGTGGTAGGGAAAGTGTAACGTCGATGACCGTATTAATATTGTTGTGCGCCATTAATAAGTTGTTTGAAAATAAGCCATTAACTATGTATGTATATTAATATGCAGTATTGCCAAATAAACTTAATAGGAAACTTATTACCATAATAATAAGGGCAGATCATGAATAGGGCCTTTGTAATATTAAAAAATAACTGACCCATCACCGTCACCCACTTGATTATCAACCAATCACATACATCACTTTAGTTTGTGATTATGTAATAAGCTGAGATAACATGGGCAATTGTTACGTGACGATTTGCAGACCATTTTGCATTGCAACCCCCCCTCCTGTTATGAAGGTAGGCCCTTATTCATGAGATACATCTCGTAACTTTAATTCTGTGTTGTCCAAATTCTACGCCCTATCGTTTTGGTACTAGTAATCCCTTGCTCAACAATAATAAAGCCAACGGGATTGAAAGCCGGTTTTCTGATTGTTGCCTCTATTACTATTACTTTTTTCAAAAGCTGATCGCTTCAACGTTCAATCTTGCCAAGGAAAGCTGGACACCGATGAATGAGATAATGATTCTTTATTAGGTTAAAAATTATGCATGCGCTAATTGTTGCTCAACATGTGGCTGCTAAGTCACTCGCATCTAGATACCGATAATAATATTTATCTTGTCCTCTCATCGCACAAACCTTGCTAGGGAAATTTTAGACTTAAACGATGTAACACTTCCCAGAAAGGACGACTTGGAGAATTGGGGGCGCATGATGATTTAATTATGGTGATGTGGCGGGTAGACAATCATCAACCGGGTTTTTCGCGATTAACACTGGTAATAAACCAATGTTCTAATGATTCCTGGATCACTGTCCAAAAGTTCATATTCCATCGTATCGCACGCCAACCACGCCAATCAATTACTTATGTCCATGTGCAACTGTACTGATTGCTCTGGAATGAGCTACTAACACGGTCTAACTCATCGTTTATGCACTTTTCAGACTCATTGGTGCAAGATTGAGCGCAAGTTTGCGTCAAATTAACTAAAAGTCTAGTTAAACTGGTATGCATTACATAAATACCGCACACATTTCATATTTCAAAAACAAAAATACAGTTTGAACGTGATCAATGTCGTACAAGCGGAATTGTTTATAAACAATGTTCAAGTTTTCTGATACAAGGACAGAGCACAAGCCACTGTACCAATACACGCATCATCGAATTAACACCCCCCATCGCTCCTGCCTTCACCCGCTTACCCTCGACTAAATTTCGTTCACAATGAAATAGTCGAATATACATTTAATGCTACATAATATTTCGATATCACGATTATTTATCATTTCTGCAAATACAAAAAGTATATCTATTGGTTCTCACGCACAAGGCAGGACATCATATCCAACATCATATCCAGCAAACATCGCTAGTCATACAAGTTTATAAAATACCATGCCCGCCAAATCGCTCCAAAGGGTATTCGCCATAGGAGATGCTATCGCTTACTACTTCTGCCATTGCGGCAGGTTTTGTTCCTCTCATCAAGTGGCTACAATAGTACTTGCGACATGCCTTGTCTTCCTCATGTGTTATCCTGCTTTAGAAACATACTATATAACGCCGAAGAATGCAGTTGAACCTCTTTTCTGGGAACTACAATCGGCGCGAAGAGAAGTTTCAGAAGAATTATTCAGAGAAAAGTGTTCGGGAACACAACCTCCTCTGCACGTTGAGCAGATAATGATTAACGCTACTGATGTAGCAAAAGGTGGAATTCTAGAGAAAGAGCTGTTGTTGTGGTCCATAAGATTGATGGACAAGATTGCAAGTACAGAAATTATACATTCAACAAATGTTCAATCTCCCTTCGGTAATCAAATCACAGCTGAAACGAGGGTTTATAGACTTAAAGACCTATGCTACAAGCCATTAGGCGGTAATGAATGTTTAGTTCAATCACCCCTCAGTTTCTGGGACAATAACGAGCAGACGTTACTTTCAGACGTTAACATTATAAAAACACTTCAAAATGCTGGTGAAGTATCGTTGCATGGCATTCCGATGCCGTTGACATCGGTATTTGGCGATATTGTATATACAAAAAGTACCAAGATAAAGGGTGCTAAAAGTATCATCTTGACGTATTTTTTGAAGGATAGGACGATGGATTTGTGGGAAAAGATATGGGAACAGGTGACGAAGAATGGAGGAATATGTCCCGGTGGCGGAACATTGGTTGATAGTGTGGATTTGCGTGTTGAAAGTGAATCGAAACACCTGTATTTGCAGGTAAGAAAACATTAAACAGAAAAACAGAATCTATAAGAAGGAAGTAACTCGGTGACGCTAATTTAACTATTGTTAAATATAACCAGTTCAACAATAATCCGTATGATCATAAGGCGAAGGCGGAGTATATCCTTCTTTTTCTTGGATACCTGGTTGGCTTTCTCTATGTTTCGCTCACATTGGGCAGGCTTAATTTAGTCAAATCTAAATTTGGCCTCGGATTTGCTGCTTTAGCCCAAGTGTTTGCCTCTCTCACGGTTGCTTTGAGTATATGTTCTCTGTTGGGATTCAAGTTGACAATAGTGCCTTGGTGAGCGAGTCATCAAGCAAACATTGTATTGATGTTGTATGATGCTATTGTGATAAACAACTAATTAACGTAAAATTATGGATATTTATAGGGAGATATTACCGTTCATGATTATGATTATTGGAGTGGACAATATTTTTCAGCTGACTAATGCGGTGACATCAACTTCAATGCAATTACCAGTGGCCGAACGTGTAGCTGCAGGTGAAAATGCGTAAGAGAAAGGTCAATGGTGCTACTATCAAAAATGAGCTGTACTAAATGTGATAACTTTATTTAGGTATTCTTAATGTTGGACCTTCTATGACAAAGAGACTTTGCGTTGAACTGATTCTTTTGCTAATATGCGCGGCGATAAGTGTTGATTCGGTTCAAGAATTTTGCCTCTTCACTTCGCTTTCTGTGGTGATTGAGTATATACTACAAATGACGTTCTTTGTCGCCACATTATCTATCGACATACAAAGATTAGAGGTAAATATGTATCAATATTGTTAAAAAAAAGGAAAGGAAATGAGATTAACACGTTGACAAATTCATCATATTCTAGATGGCTGACTTGTATAAACGCCAGCCGCGTTACGAGGAAGTCACTTCTAATAGAAATGTTCGAGCGTCATCTTCACGGATATTCAAGAAGGGGCGAACTGTAGGCCTAATTACGGTACGTTCGTATTTAAATACATAACAATATGTCTATCATGCATGTCATACTCACTTTAAAATCGAAATTTCATAGGTAATTCTCGCAATAAGAATCCTTACTAGATTCTATCCAACCCAAACTGAATCTCCCGCAACACTATACGAAAGTGCCTTCACTACCGAAACTCCGGAAATCAGCAACAAGTTCTACGAGACATCTGCTACAGATATGGCAGACAGCTTCTGGCGAGCAGTCAATCCGAATAAAACTGATCAGTGTCTCGAATTAAGAACAAAGTACATCACGATTCATGGACGAAATAAAGATGCAATAAACGACAATGGGCCGCTAAACGCATGGACGCAGGATTTTGTTTTTCGATCACAACAAATGCTCAAACACATATTGAAGAGCATTACCACTATTGTCAAGTATATCATAGCACCTGCCGCTGGTATAGCCATAGGGATATCATACCTTGTAGCCTTCCTTCTGTCTACAAACAATGGCCACGAACAGGACAATGGGCGTAGCGTAAGGAAGACTTCATCCATGAACGACCTGCAAGACCTCCGACTCACCACTCCACGTGTAGTCACTCTGCGTGGCAGACACGCTGCCGATGTGGACCTTCTTTGTGCTGGATCCAATGGAGTAATTATCTCTACCAGTGCAGACAAACGCATAACGTCGTGGGAAGGACACCATGGTAGCGTGTCTATGAAACTCGAACGCTATATGCGCAGGTGCGAATCATGTAAATGTGGCACAACAAAAGGAATGAAACAATGCATCGCATGGCCTGTGAGGGTTTTATGTACGAACGAGACTGTAGAGTTGGCCGCTGCTGGATTTGAAGATGGAGTAGTGAGGGTATGGGACATACAAACTGGACAAGCCATGCACATTTTGAAAGATACTGTCGATGATGTCGAGTCTGTCATACCTGATGACACGAAAAATCGTTTATCTAAAGAAAGAGTTACATGCTTGCAGTTTTTAACCACACAACCTAATCCTGCTGACTCTCCAACGACTTCGACGTCATCACAGTCTGAGAAAACCGCGTTACTTGCTGCTTATAGGGATGGATTTGTTCGCGAGTGGGATTTAGAATCTGGTCAGATGATATATACAATTGCTACAAATCAGAAGAGTGGTATAAGCTGTCTTTGTATTGATAAATCCGTTGACAAAGATTTGAGACTATTCACTGGTGCAAGAGATGGTTCCATAAGGTGTTGGTTGGGGAGAACTAATGCAGATGATATCGTGGACGTCGAACCCACAGGTCGATGGAAGCCTCTTTATACATTAGTCGGACAATATAACAATGCTATAACATGTATTGCGACAAAAATAGCCAATACTAAGACGTCATGTTACGGCATTGTGGTCGCTGGTGCCGCAGATGGTGAAGTAAGAGTTTATGATTGCATTTCTGGTAATCCAATAGCCACGTTAAGTCAAGGTACTCTGACCAAACAGCAGAAAGTGAGAAAGCGTGAAGAACAAAAGAAGCAACAGTTAGCAAAGGACCAACAACAGCATCTATTAACACAGCGTAAAGCTGCCCAACAGCAGCAACAACGACGAAAACAACTGGAAAAAAACCAACAACAGCAACAACAATATAATCATTATCAAAAACAACTGCTACAACTCCAACACCAACATTTACAGGTACAGAAACTGCTGAAGTTGCAATCACAGATACAAGATCAACCACCAGAAACTGTTCAACAACTACGTCAATATGCTTCACATCTACAACGACAACGTGAGCGGTTAATTGCGCAGCAGCAAAGATTACTATACCAACAAAGTCTGCACAAAACACATTCCCAGCAGGTACAGACAGAGTCTGATAGCCCTGATGAAAATATTTATGAGAGCGAAGACGAAGAAATAAGCAATGATCATGAGGAGGATGCGTCGGGTGAGGAAGGGGAGGAAGGAGAGGAAGAGGAAGGGGAAGAGGAAGGGGAAGAGGAAGAGGAAGGGGAAGAGGAAGAGACTTCCAACAGAGAAGATACGTTTCACCAGGGTGCCATTAAATCTATTATTATTCATCTCTTACAAGGAGAAAAGTGTTTATGTGGAAGAACGGATTCTGGGGAGTTCTGGGTAATAACTAGCTCCTTGGATGAGAAGGTGAATTTTTACAAAATCGTCAAGGACTCAATGGATTGTTCATGTATGGCATTGCAGGTCAATGAAGAGACTGTCATCTCCAATGGCTCTGAACAAAACATTAGACAGATAGCTACCCAGAAGCAATCATCTCCAAAAGGACATACGAATCATTATCGAATAAAGACAAAGCAAGCGATAGATCGTTGGGATGGTGTTGGCTCTTACCGCACCAAATTAATTGGCCGTGTCAGCCAACCCGGCGGTTGTTCTATAGTCTTACTTCGCGGTAATATAATAGGTGTCCGACGCATCAAAAGAATCCTTTCCACCTCGGCTACACGAAAATCTCACGGCGTGGAAGGCGAGTGGGAAGTGTGGATGAAGGATTTGAAGACTTGTGAGCAGGATTGTCTGGAGAATGAGAATGGTGATGATCTGACAGTGAGGACGATGAGTCTAGTGGATGAGAAGGATTTGCTGATTGAGGATATACGGAGGAAGAAAGAAGTGACTAAAAAAAAGATGCAGGGGAACCCCGGAGAGATGTCTGGGTTTGTTAGGAGGCGGCGAGTAATATCTATGAATGTAAAAAGTCAGAATGGGGCGTCATCCTCCATAATGCCTTCTTTAGGCCAATCTTGCTCTCACGACGATGAGCATCACCACTCTCAAGATGATGAGCATCATCACTCCCACGATCATCATGATAATGACCACAATTCTCATACCCATGAAGAAGGTCAAGTAGTTGATTTTCGTCAAAAACCGCGCATTCGTCGTCCAAACATCGCGTATTCCACAAAGTCTGTTGGCTATAACGAAGAAGAAGAAAAGATGAATGAACTCTTGCCATTTGCGTATATTAGACAAGTGGTGAAAATCGGAGAGGATGGTGTTTGTATAGCTTATGGCAACTTTGTTAAAGTTGTTTGGTATGAAGATGATAGTAATGATGGAAGTTGGTAACATAAGGCTGATGATGTACAATGATCAGTAATCATGAAATATTGTGACTCGAGTAATTATGTGTTTTGTTTAGGAAATTATCTGGCTAATGTGTTTATTATTTTACTATCGTTCTGAAACTGTATAGATAAAATTTAAAATTCTTTGTACAAATTCATAAAATCGCTTAATAAAAATGTATTATGTCTTAACGCTCGGATATTATCCATGTTACACACATCCGACATGTTACACGGCGAAGTATTTCTTTTCTAGGGTAGTATAATCTGACGAATAGACAATTTGGGTATAATTTTGGGTGAAAAAGGGAATTTTTCGCCGTCGGATTATCACCCCGATGCCACAAATTAAAGAGAGACAACAGCAGTATTGCTCGGGATCAAAAATGTACGCCGCGTCAGACTTTCACGTCTCAGACGGTTCAACTAATCATCCCTGCATAACATCCCTGAAATCGATGATCGACCTTGCATAAACCGTTACATAGAATCGTTTCTCCTTTATTATCAAAATTAGCCGGTTTATAATATTAACACTTCAAAGTCAAACTATACTTTAAGAACAATATTAGTTTGACGCATTGAGCCTGTTTTCCCAACTTCAACAAGCTTTTGATATTTTTAACAAGGTATATAATAATGGCGATGTAGTTTGTGAGCACGAACATCGCTATTTGAAATTTCACGTGCGTGATTCACGCGGACATAAAAATAATAATCTATGAGCCTGTTTAGATCCATGTGCCTAAATTTATCCAATTATCCAATTACGTTGCATACAGAATTTATATCTGCAATAATATTAGTTAAAATATACTACCTCATTAATTGGTCGTATTTCAACAGATAATTCGCTAAGAAGCATTGAAATAACTTTCAAGTCATATATTAGAGTGTTGCTGGTACATATGGTAATAAACATGAGACGTTAACCTATTCTCGATGTGTCATAACACATTACTGTCGTATAAACAAGTTACCAGTTATTACATGGTAAAAGGTAATCTTTAAGGTTAGAGACACTAAATTTCTCTAATTGGAAAAGCCGCATTATTTACGTGTTAATCCGATGCTGGACTTTCCGTGGGCTGTCTTCAACCGTTGCGAATGTGTAGCACAACTGTAATTGATAATCCTCCTAATATCGTCAAAATAATTATCAAGGGAAGTTAAATTTAAGCGATAGCACAGTCTATCCAGGAAAAAACGTGTACACTAAATGTGGAAAGTACGTTTATAGGAATCAATACTATGCGACAGGTAACATAAAATGCAGCAGGTATTAGAAAAGTAATATTATAAAGTGCACTTCTGCCTATAAAATGTTGCATCAATAAGGGGAGCGACTGACGCCGAAGCAAGGATTTTATACGTATCGGTGAAAACAATGTCAGAATGCTGAAACGGGTAATGTCCGGTGAACCGAGCTCAAACGTAGCTATGCGTTTAATAATAATGTACTCTCTATATTTTCTTACATATTCAAATGATCTGGCAAAGGCAGCTAACAGTAAACATGCACAACTTATTTCGGAATCCTGTTAGCTCGACCATATTGACATACGTGGAAGCATAACGTATAATTGGAAGAGGAATAAACCATTGAATAAAACTCGTACAAGCTGTAAATAATCTATGAATTACAGATTTATTCAAAAAAGAGGTTGAGTCTCTAAATTACAAGAAATGGATGGTGTTAACATTGTAAATTGACTTTATTTGTATCAACATGTAACCATACCTGCAGCAGAATCCAAATCATAACTATTTCTCGGTTTGGGCAAATCTCCAGTAGGTAAGAGTTTACTAGAGTATTTACTCTCCTTTTCGAGACTTGATAAGGGTTTTACATCGTTATGATAAACGGCATTCCACGTGTTGTCATCCTCGTCAATCTCGTCGTCAATAAGCTTGCGAATATCACTCCAAAGTGTATATGTGTCCGGACGCTTATCAGGATCAGCATCACAACACCGTTCGGCAAGTTTCTTGTATTCCTCTGGTGCGGAATCAGGTATCGATGGTCGTAGTCCGCCCATAATGTTGCATACTAAATCTCTATCAAACTGCCTATCTCTAAAAGGTGGTTCCCCAGTAGCAATCAAATACATAATGATACCAAAAGAATATACATCTGATTTCTGAGTAAATTTGCGGGTATGGAATACTTCCGGTGCAATAAAGGGTAAAACGCCTCGAATGGTTGAATTTGATTCATGTGAATTCACCGATCGTGAGAGACCAAGATCGCATATGAATGGAGAAGTTGTATACGTGTTGTTGTGCAAAACTATGTTTCCGCCATGAAGATCACAATGCACAATTCTTGCACGACGAATATCATCCAGATAATCTGCAATACCAACCAAATGCTGTAATTTATCCATCCACGTCAATTTGTTAATATTTTGATCCAAATAAGACAAAAGACTACCATTGTTAGCATAT